ACAAATGAAACTAGTAGAGAAAGATATTGCCACCCTTTAAAACGGTTTTTGTTGATAACAGTTGAGTTATGTGTCAGTCTGTTAATCGTTACAGCTTTCTCTACAGTCTGTACGATGCGAGCATAAAAGAAAGATGAAAGATACCAAAGGGACATTCACACTCATAAGTCGAAAATAATCTGACAACGCCATGGCTAAACAAGAAAAATACCAAAAGACAAACAAATGTATACAAAACACAACATAAAAAACTAAAGACAGAGCGACACGAGCCCCACCAAATTTTTTTTTATATATAACAATTCCCTTATTTTCTAATATGATGACTACAAATCTTTTTGCTGCTATGATATCTGTTGGTTACTATTCCCTTATCAGTACCAAAACTAACTAAAACATACGAAATTTTTTGTTGTTACGTTTCAGGATAGAGTTACCAATAAGTGGTTTATATATTGTATCACATTTTTATGCTGCACTTCTTAAAAACACCAAAGTTTGACTGGTCACTTGAACTTCACTCATCCGGCAGTTAAACCAATACTAGACAGGGGTAGCCTTTTGGCTGGGTGGATGTATAAATACACAGTCACGTTCCGTATAAATGGCATGAGTAATAAACCAATGCCTCGTGTGAGGTGAATGTCACATATCAATAACTATAGTCCATATGAAGCAAATTGTAATGCTAATGTTTTGTCACAGATCATCTTTTCTTTTTTCAGCGACAGTCTATATTTCCATACCTTCATTCGATCGACCCACTTTGAAGAACCTACCTATTGTATAGATTGTTGGTTTGTTCTCATCCTGAATATAACTGAAATATTTGCCTCATGATGTTAAGCAAACAACAATCAATCTTAATAACCAAAAAAACCAGCACTTCTGTGTTGACATGAATTATCATAATTATAAATTAACTGTTAACAAAACTTTGAATTTTTTAAATACTAAGGATTGTCTACCCTATGATTAGATTACTTTAGCTGTATTTGACAAAACCTTTCGGAATTTTAGGTACTCAATGTTCTTCAACTTTGTATTTTATTTGGCCTTTTCAACTTTTTTTATTCGAGTCTCACTTACGAAACGCGCTTCTGCCGTAAAAACTTTTTAAGCCTGGTATCTATGATGAGTTTATTTAAAACTAAAATTCTGTATTGGAAGATGCACGTTTGGGCTAATTGGTTTAACAATTGGGCCATAAAGGTATCATAAAGTATTTTTATTTTAAATTAATTGTCGAAGTATAATATATGACTTTACATTTATAACATATTCATGTTTTATGCACCCTTTTCGTTTGCCAGACAATATCTGCTCCCTACTCGGCACAGTGAGGGGGGAGTAGGATTTTGAGCAAGATGAATCTAAACAGCACTAAATGACCTTTTTTAAAACTATGTACAACGTGCAGGTATTAAACAGCTAGGTAAAAATATAAAAAGTTCATCCAATTGATTGTTCTAAAAGATCGGTTATTGTTTCCAGTTTAAAGCTAAAAAAAACTCTCAACTGTAAACTCGTTTCAATTAAATGGTGTAAATAGTTATCAAAGGTACCAGGATTATAATTTGATACGCCAGACGCGCGTTTCGTCTACATAAGACTCATCAGTGACGCTCCGTTCAAAATAGTTATAAAGCCAAACAAGTACAAAGTTGAAGAGCATTGAGGACCCAAAATTCCAAAAAGTTGTGCCGAATACGGCTAGGGTAATCTATTCCTGGGATAAAAAAAAATCCTTAGTTTTTCGAAAAATTCAAAGTTTTGTAACAGGAAATCTATAAAAAAAAAAAGACCATATAATTGATATTCATGTCAACACCGAAGTGCTGACTACTGGGCTGGTGATACCCTCGGGGACGAAACGTCCTCCAGCAGTGGCATCGGACCAGTGGTGTAAATAGTTATCAAAGGTACCAGGATTATAATTTAGTACGCCAGACGCGCGTTTCTTCTACATAAGACTCATCAGTGACGCTCAGATCAAAATAGTTATAAAGCCAAACAAGTACAAAGTTGAAGAGCATTGAGGACCCAAAATTCCAAAAAGTTGTGCCAAATACGGCTAGGGTAATCTATTCCTGGGATAAGAAAATCCTTAGTTTTTAGTCAAACTTCAATTTGTTTCTTTTTCAAACTAGCTTGCTTTTCTAATGACCGGATTTTTATGCAGGTTGTATTTTTTAAATTATTGTTCAGTGATTATATATTTGATATCAAATACTAGAATTGATATAGATAAATTTTATCTGTAATTTACCTCTACAGTTATAATTAGTCAAATTTAATTACTAATAGCTCAAATGTAAACTTAACTTGACCCAAAAATGTTTAGCCCAAAAGATACAGTAGCCACGCATATTATTTAATCCAAATATCTTGCGCCCTTTTTCAGTATCTACAGATTTTCAGGCGACATATTCCCTCTAAATAATCCAGATTTTTTTTCAAATTTACCGAAATTATTTACCATTGTGAGCTGATACTTACTAAATCCATTGTTACGGAATATTAGTCACAAGAAATAGCTATACTTTGTCCTTTCTACAGTCCTAACCCCCTTTCCTCGTTAAGAGTTTCAGTCAGACGGTTTTTCATTAGAAACGCGGATGATGTCTGGTGCTTCTGGTGGAGCTGGAACTGTTTATCGTCTTTAATTTCTGTGTCGTGTTTTGTTGACGTATTTGAGTTTTTTTCGTCCATTTTCTTTTGGTCTTGTATGTTGGTTTTTTTTCGACTTGTGATTTAAGATTGTACCCTTTTCGTCCTCTTGTTTTATTTGTTACTTGACAGTGTTGATAAGCCATTTATTGACCTAAATGTTTTTATGTATATTAATGCGAGAAAAAAACGAATAAAAATCAAATTTCTCTCAAGTACCAAGCATTATGTTTTTCCAGTTTGCACATATATAACTACTCGCGTATTTATACATCCTTTGATTTCAAATGTGTTGGTTTCAGTGTTCTTGATGAAAGTATATCAAGAAAAGCTCTCCGGACGCACCACATTTATATTTCTAGTGTTATTTTCATCTTTATAGACACATATTTTATGTGTGTAACCTTTTTATAATACTAGAGTGTTTTCCATTGAATTTGCTTTTCTTCACTAGGTTTAAACAGATTAACCATTATCTATTGACTATTCCTGAGGAACCGTGTTTATCTCTGCATGGGTTTTGGTGGTGTTCGTTTGCCTCAATCTTTAAATTACTGTGTAGTGTTTTGTGGACTGTTGTCTTTTCGTTGTTGTTTTTTTTTTTTTTTTTTGGACATGGTGTTGTCGGTTTTTATTGATCTTTTTGGTTTTTGGTTTCTTCTCCTGCTTTTTTTCTTATCACAATACTTGGTCGTCCTTTGGGTTATATTCTTATAAAACAAGTAGTTTTCTTCACGGATATATCAAACAAAAGTATGCTAATAATTCGGTATTGCTAATAATACTTTTTACCACGTCTTTTTTTTCACACATTTCACCTTTTCCTATGAAATTGAAAGCTGTCGTGAATGATACCTTGATCCACTGTTATAATTTCCGGTAATGCTGTTGCCTCCCTTTGGGTATACGTTCACACTATTGATTAACTAATCTGATCAGACAGTTTTATAATAATCTGGGTATAAAGATTAAGACTTCTGGCTTGAATAGTCGTCATGGCATGAGGTAACACTTTAGGTCATGAAAAGTTCATTTTTATTTACACTAAAAAGTATCCTAAGTCATATTTACATTGTTAAATTTTCTGTTGTAGGTGCCATTAGAAAGGAAACACATTATATTTCAAGTCCCTTTTATTCTTATTTACAATCGCAATACATATAGTTCTTTAATAGTGGCATTGCTCGAACATTTTGTGGCACGTTACTTATAAAAATAGAAAAAATTAGTCTCGCTCTGCCTTTTTTTAGTTCCGAAACAAGTTTTCGATCAGTATCATTACGGTCAAAATTTAAATTTACGGCTCTTCCTCCAAATGTGAATGCGCTGTACCAATTACAAAAGATGACTGTCACTTTTTCTAATATTTGCTTCAGCACAGGTTGAAGTTTTCATTCCAGTGTGAACATTTTCTTCTTTTTTTTCTCTCGACTTTTTTAATTTTAAAATGTGAAAATCGGAAAGAAATGCTATAATGTTCTGTATGCATATTCTAAACAATTTGCAAAATCTTTCAAAAAAATATATTAGTTGATTTTTTTATTCAGCGAGAAAATACCTATAGGTGATGTTTTTCAATTATCCTTGAGTATATAATACGAACATTACTTATGTTCTATCCTACACGGCGAGGAAACTGACATACATGTATAAGTATATTTTTGCTTTAGTGTATACATGTTCAATGTTTTTTTTTTAATAGTGTCTACATTCTTGTCATAGCTTATTCAATATTACTTTTGCATCCGAAATATGCAAATAAGCTCATATACATGAATTCTAACGTCTCTAAACATCTTAATTCATTAACTTTTCATGAATAGTTTTAATGATAGAAAGAACTAACCATGGGACATCTCAGTTTATTCAATTTTCCAGAAAAGAGTTAATACCATAAACTAAATTATGTTAATTTGATATTAAAACAAATGATGGCGAAATAAACAACAATTGCTGTTTGTTTTTGTTTTTTCTTTAGGTAGTATTTTACTTCTAATAATCTGCTGCCTCTCTAGTTGCACATCAGTTTATAATAAAAATAATTTGACCAAAACGTAGGCTGCGACTACCTCAGACAACGATTACCTTAGACAACTTTGGCTGTTCTGATCATCTTCTCCTTTTTTTCTTTGTCTTTTGTGGGGGTATGCATTTTAACGTTAAATGTATTTTCTCACAATCTTTTGAACCCGAATGTACCTAATGAATGTCCTTCCAGAAACACGTTTCGTGTGCTCTGGAATCGGTATCATATATTTTCATCTGATCATACCACTGAAGTACATACTAATCTCAGAAATCTTGTGTCTGCTGTCATAATGAATATAATGTATTTCACATTAATTTATTGTTATAAAGCTACATATGAAGTTCCAAAAAGCTACAATTAAAGTCTTAGTATCATTTTGAAATTTGTTTTTGATTGTCTGTAGTTTAAGCTTTTATATTTTTTAACTAACTATCTGTACTCAAAGCAAGAAAGAATTGGGCAGAATAATAAGTTATCATCACAAAAAACTGGGTAAATGGTACGGACAATTTCCATTTGTCAACTGCTATCAGGAAATCTGAGAAAATAAACAACATGCTACCGACGCATCCAGCAAGTGCTGGAAATGTTTTTGTTCTTTCATAGGCATTTGTCGCTCTCCAAGACATTATAAGAATCAATGTCATATATATCATAACAAGACAAAACATTATAAAACTATCAATGTCTGCTTGCAATGTCACTGCAAGAGCTATATATCCTAGAATGTACAAATTCTGTAATCTGCTTTTGCCACTGGATGGTTCGAAAGCCAAGATATAGAACAAATGCGCAACACCAAAGGCCAGCATACCAGGAATGAAGAGAGTGGTACGAGCCACTAGTAATGCATCTCCCAGACTGGATGTCAGCAATCCAATGAAAATGAATTTCTTATAGTCATTGTCCATCAGTTTATTCAAGTTTCCTTTAACGGTGGACCGCACAAAATATGCCAACGACCATATTGGAAGGATTTTAAAGAATGCCGCTAAGAATGTTATAGGCGGATATCCTATAAAGGGCTGGTATAAGATGAAGTATAACAGAAGTGTCCCATAAAAAGGGTAAAGTGTTGGTTTTGGCAGATATTCTAACAGCTTTGTCTTCATCATATCCATTTCCTGTAAAAAGAATAACAACAAAATTATTACTTTTTGAAATTCCAATATGGTGTATCTGTGTCATAGGTAACAATGACTATGTTTTGCTTCTTTTAATTACTGTGAGCCGGAGCGGGAACTCCTTAACTTAGTTCTTCTTAGGTTGCTGATGGGGTTCATATGCTGCTCCATCTTTAGTTTCCTGTGTACTGTTTTTTGGACTCAAGATTAGTTGTGCGGGATGTATAAATACGCAGCCTCGTCGGGTCAAAAAAGGGGACGTTAAATCCAATGCCTCGTGTAGAGAGAATGCCAAGTTCTCTGTACGATAAGTATCAATGCAACAAATCTTTTAGGGGCCCGTAGATGGTCTGTTGCAAGACTAAATTTTTCCCTATTCAATATACTCTCATTGTCCAGTGGCAGTCCAAATTTTACGCCTTCGTCCTGCATGGTCGATCCCTCTTACAGGATCTTATCTATTGTACTTATTGTTAATTTGTTCCCGTCCTGAACATGCATGAACCACTTGCCACTGGACATTAAGCAAACAGCAATCAATCAGTCAATTTAAAACAAAATCGGTATTTTCATTTCAAATTTTCGCTTTCGGTCAAGTTGTAGAAAGAAAATTTCCACTTATCGATAATTAATGACTCTGATGATGTCTTAAAGTTTAACAAGAGTCATTACAACGGAATAATTTAACTAACCCACTGTTCTCAGTGGGACTCGTGTTGATAAATGTTTAGTTTCTGTAAACTGTGTTGTGGAATGTTGTTTGTCTGTTTTTTTTGTTACGTTTTATTTTGCAATGGTGTTTTTTTTTCACTTCGACTTATGCTTTGAGATTGCCCCTCTTCGCTCCCCTTTTACATTAATCAGGATGACAGTTCAGATTTAAACAAAATTTGCCCATTAAGACATCAGATGGGCAAATTTTGTTTAAATCTGATTAGAACTGACCACGTGGGTTGCAATCATCGCTTACATCTGATAATTTAACCATACTTGTAAGCAGCCAGGGATCAAACGCACTCGACTTTCGTGAACCCTATTCTTTGTGGAGTAATAATGGGTGGGCCATGCAGTCAGATCGTTGGTGGTTCTCGGGGTTGTAACTCCACCTTTAAATGCTCGATTATTTTTATCACGTAAAAATCGAAGAAAGAAAGGACTGAAACTTCCCTTTTCAAATATTTCTGCATAGATTTGCGCCTAGAGTTTTGATTGTTAAAAGTTTGTTACTCTGTATAATTTGGTCATTGTGTTGGTGAACATTTGCTGAAGTCCATGGATACTTTTTACCTATAATTGCTGACTTCCACGTCGATTTGAACTCTGATGGATACCAAATCTTCTTATTTTAATACTTAATCGATTTTTAAGTGTGTCAGCGGAAGTCTGTTGTATACATTTTGCGAAATTATCACTTTATCAATTTCGTAAATTTGAATGATAACAATAAAATTGAGAATGGAAACGGGGAATGTGTCAAAGAGACAACAACCCGACCAAAGAGCAGAAAACGGCCCAAGGCCACCAATGGGTCTTCAACACAGAGAGAAAATGGATACATGTCAACTCGTACACTATTTTGACCAACTCGTACCCAATATTTTTTTAGCATGATTGTGTTTCATTTATTAGGTTATATCTGGGACTATTGTCAATAAATTATGTCACAGGTTATCTGGAATATTTAATTGTTATTTTCATTTTGCAATTGATCTACTGATATGATTTTTCTTAATGTTTTTTTTTAAACATTTTTGTTTTAAATGCAGCATAAGTCTTTAATTGTGAAGTAATTAATTCATTAGTTTTAACCCTTGTTGGTAAACTAAGAATATATAGAACATCATCTCAAGCTTGAACGATCCATGGAATATTGGAAAAGGATATTTCATACTGAATTTTGCGTTGGAGATGTGAGATTTTTCGTGTTAGTGTATATAATCTAATCCTTTTGAAACCATATGTATATATATCGTAAACGCTATAATTATTTAATATGTATGCCAAATAAATTGCCGTTCAAACAATTTCATATTATCAAAAAATTCTAATGACTAATGATTAGCAATGAAAGAAAATAACAAAAATGATGTATATAAATAAAAATAATATATTGGGTTGAGTTGGTAGAAGTACGAGTTGGTAAAAATAGGGTACGAGTTGTTGAAGGTACGAGTAACAACATAAACGGTACCAATTTTTCTGCACCAGATGCGCATTTCGACAATCAATGTCTCTTCAGTGATGCTCGAGGCCAAAATATTTGAAAATCCAAAGCTTATTAAAAATATGAAGAGCTATAAACAAAAAAGGACCAAAAAGTATAGCCAAAGCCGGGCAAGGAATCAGAGCTTTGCATGAGGGAGATACATTCCTTAATTTTAAATAATTTCCAAATTTTGTGACAGCAAATTTTTAATAACATAAAATCCGTATTTTCATGCCAGTACCAACGTACTGGCTACTGGGTTGGTGATACCCTCGGGGACTATCAGTCCACCAGCAGAGGCATCGAATCAGTGGTAGTAATAACATAAACGGTACCAATTTTTCTGCACCAGATGCGCATTTCGACAATCAATTGTGTACCCCGAGAAAATCACGCACCGGGAAGCGGGCAGACTCTTTCATCAACATGTGGGTAAACCTGACCTAACTGATTTTTGGTTTTTTTTTTATGCCAACCTATTCTATTGCTCTCAACATCTCTACATTTCTCTGGATTTCAAAACTTATGACTTATTTAGTTCCTGGAGGCCTCATATACCCGGGGTGACTGCAAGTGGCGTATAATATATTAGTCCCAGATTGCCCTGTCTTGTGAATCAGTGATTTCCATTTGGGAGACTGGTTTTGGCTTTAGAAGCCAACTTGTCCCAAAAATAGACAGTCAGACATCGGAGCAATCTCCGACTTATAAAAGACCATCGAAATGAATTTGATATGGGAGAACTCTAAATGATTAATGTATTAGAAAAGATTGGGATAAACAAATATTTCACCCTAAATAGTGAACCCGGAAATATATCTTTGAGTCTCTACAATATGACATAATATCAATATGTTACATCACTTCATTGAAATATAAACTCATTCTTTGACAAGAGGTAGGCCGATATAGTTGAATAATGACACTTATTGACATAAGTTTCTGAGTGTGACACAATGCCAAACAATTACCATTCATTCGACACAATATATTAAATGCGCATTGTACAAATATAATTAATCGCCGATATTTTTTATGAATGTTTTTAAGTTTTTTTTGTTGAACTACAAAGATATAAATTTCTCCTACCATGTTTCAAGTACGAATATCCTTCATATATTGTGTACAATGGGGTGTGTCACACTCAGACAGACAAAGATAAAATTAATATTTACTCACCTTGAAAATACTATCAGCAAATCTCTGCAGTAAACTTATAAATGTATAGTCATGTGGTTGCAAATAAGGTACAAGCGAGATTTAAATACATTAATAGCTTTACCTTTCACTTTCAAATAAATTTAAAACTAAATCAGTCTTACTCTAGCATTGTTATTAAGTCGACTTTTTACAAAGCTCACATATAATTGCACAATTGCGTATTATAAATATTGAACAGGTGTTTACGTATATTTGGCACTGCTTTATTTTAAACTCAACAAGTATGATCTTTTGATCTTTATACCATTCAAATTTTACAGTCCGTATATAAAATTATTAAATGTACTATGTCATAAATCTCCCAATAAACTAGTAAATATGGATTGTTTCACCTCTTAGTAACGCTGAACATCCTACGGATCATTTTGATAAATCCATCTAACTTTCTCCTTTAAAGGGCGTTCCCCTTGAAAATCTGAATAATAAAGTACTTTAGCTTATTCTGCAATTTTGCTTAATTGTATTTTTTATGCCTACTTAGCTGTTTATGTTCTTTACTTTGAAAGAGATAGTTTTGAAAGACCATACAGTAACCCTTAAAGTTATCTATGCATGAAAATGAACATCAACCCAAAAACACAAAAAAACCAAAGGAAATCTATGGTCAACACTTTTCTAAGCGCCAGATATTCGCTGTCAAAAATAGTTGCAGACGAGGTGAGTTAGTTTTCGCCATTCATTCCCACCTTTAACCGAGTTTTTATCGTTCTTTATTGATTGTCACGTGTTCTATCGTCAATAATCGATTTTCACGTGTTCCATCGAGCTCCATCTCACGAGGCTCGATGTAATACACGTCACGGTCAGTTGCAGACGACATAATATGTTTCAATCGTATACCGTTCTGAACGATTGGATAAGTGCAGTTTCTTTCTAATAAAAAAAATCACTTGTGGGTATATTTTTAAACGTTGTGTTTTCTTGTATATTGTCTAATGTACGTTTACCCCATACCTGAAAATTATATATTGATATTTACGCAGAAGTCTACACCATGTATCAGCATAAATTGCACGTTTAGTAAGCTACTAAACCTTTAAAGGTACACCCGATATCATGATGATGATATTCCATAAGTCGACAGACACAAAATATCAATGGTGATGGTAAACATGGTAAAGGAATTAGAAAATTAATAGTTTTTTTTCAAATATTTTTTTATAAAAACAATACTGATTTGAATTAAAACTACTGTATATCTGGTGAATTCTGAGGGAAGCAGGTTAAATTAGTGCCTATAATTTTTATGTAAATCAATTAAATCTAGAATTTCATCTCTCATCGGTTTCCAACCTTAAATGGATAAACCAGTCAATCAAAAACATTGAAAGTAAATAAAACGATCTGCAGTTTTACTCATTGATTATAATAACAAATAATGTATATTTCTGATGCATTGTTAATGGCTTACCTTGGAATGTCGCTATCAGATACTATCATGACGGCTCCACTGTTCAAGGCTAGTGCAACAATGTCCTTGATTATGACAACTACCTGCACAACGAAGTTACATCAGGAACAAGTATTGATTGTACTGGCAGTGCCTAACTTTCTCAGATTACATGCTATACAAGCTTTACAAAGTAAGCTCATTTGTCAGCAGTTGTCTATATTATTGATTGATATTTTCTACACTACATATAGATCTTAGAAAGATAAGAACGTGAATAAGATAGCACATGGTTTTACTTGTATATATATATCATGCTGTGTTGTCTTTTTAATCAATATGTAGTTATGTCTGTATTGAAATCAGTTAAATAAAGAAACTGAATATTCCTTTAAAACTGCATCCCATCACAGGGGCTTGTCTCGGGGATCATAATTTATATTATATGAAAATATTACATACATGTATTAAACTAACTCTTCAAGTAGTTGACTGGTATGTGAATACTTTTATCGACAGAAGGTCTGTATACAAGATGCCAAAAATGTCAAACATAACGCAAAATATTGTTTTGAAGCTTTCATTTTACTTAGCCTGTAATTATGAATGATGCTAAAAGCCTTAAGATTGATTGATGTTTGCTGATCGAAATCTAGTGGTAAATATACGTGCACATTCAGGACGAGATCAAATTATCAATAACTCTTATTAGTAAATTATTGATGGCCGTTGACATGAAGATTGAGAAATTCGGACTACCACTGAAAACGAAAGTGTGTCGGATAGGGTCAGACATGGTCTTGTAACAGATCTCACTAAGACTTCTTAATGGGCTCTTAAACGTGTATAAAACGTTGCACTTTCCCTACACGATGCATTGGATTGAACTTCCCTATTCCGACCGGACGTGGCTTCGTTTTTTTGGATCAAGCATAACCAAACGGATTTCTCTTTATGGATTTGACAGCCGGGTCGTGGGGATAGAACGGGTGACCATTTCTAAACCCCAATCAATATATTGAGTGCCAAAAAATTGACCGAATGTCAACTCTGTCCCATTGAATTGGAACTTTAGTTTTTGTATATCAGTAAAGTACAAAGATCATCAACAGAAATGTATCTAAAACATCACAGACAGTGCAGACGCATCAGACGGGTGTGCAGATATCTTCTGTGGCTATCAGTCGTTTTTCTTTTTTTGCCATGGCGTTGTCAATATAAAACAGAAGATGTGGTATGATTGCCAATGAGATAACTCTCCACAAGAGACCAAATGACACAGAAATTAACAACTATCAGTTTATTTTCGACTTGTGAGTTTGAAAATCACTTTGGTGTTGCTTCCTTTTTTGATATTGATACACCGATACCGAATGTGTGTCGTTAGAACCGCTTTTCTAAATCAAACTTCATCCGGAAATCTCGTATAATTATAAGGTTTGAAAGCAATATATATGTGTGTAAGTACATAGAACTGTGTACCCGAAAAAGGCCAAATACCAAATACAAATGTGAAGTTGAAAGAAAATATTAATACAAGATTTGCAGAAAGAAAATTTAAGTACAAATAAATATTGAATATATGGGTAAAAGGGTAGAATCTGTTTATCTAATGATATATGCAATGTATCATGAAAAACTCGGGAGAGGATTTGATATCACACGCAACAATGTAATCGACTATGGTGGTTTATGAACTGGTTACCTAACTGGTAGTAGACAGTATCATGCAGTCAGCTTTGGGTTCTTAAACGTGCAAAAGATATATTAAAAAATTCAAACACAATAATAACAAATTTACCATAATATTAAAACTTTGAATGTTATCTACCCTCTATATTTACTACTGTTCCGTATGTACTTTAGCTTCTCGTTTAATAGTGCCTTTTTTCTAAAACAATGTAAGTTATTAATGCAATTTCTTATTTTAGTAAAGAAAAAAATCTTACTTTGTGACAAACCACATTGATTCAACAAACAATCGATATTTCAATCAATACTAAATGTGAAATTCTACTGACGGACTGATAGTTCATCTGGCCGGCAAATAGCAATTTGAGCTGTTGACATCACTTTGCGTCCGTCATTCGTCCGTCTTAGTAAACTTTTTTTTAATCTTCTCTAAAACAACTTTGCCAAACTTGACCTGAATGTTCATTAGGGAATATAGTTTAAAAAGCACATCTGGAGATTTAATCCATTAACAGAAAAAGGTCGCTGTCGCTAATAATAAAACACGGGTAAAAGTTTTGCCTAATATCTCAAAGACTATACTAGTATAGCCGTCTGATCTTTAAATTAAGCGCGATTGTGTCCTGTCCCTATCATTATATTTTGGCTGCCTGGATTCGCATGACGCTGGATGGTGAATTTAGCTGTAGCATAGCAGGAGACGCATACCCTATCAACGAACCCGGTTTCTCTTCTTGTGGGGTTCATGCGGTTGCCCAATGTTTTCACTTGGCTTGTATATTCTGTTGTGTGGTTTCAGAGGGGTTGCGATGGCAAACTGTTTGTAGTATATTATTGCCAAAATTCTAAATTCAAAAGGGCATTACTCCTAGAAAAAAACATTGAATCATAATTTCTGCATAGTATGTCCTAATTATCTACAAAGTTTCATGAAATTCTGTTGTAGGTTTCAGAGAAGTTGCTATGACAAACTGTTGTAGTATTATATTTAGATCAAAATTCTAAGTTCAAAGAGGCATAACTTCCAGAAAAAGAATTGAATCCTAATTTCCTGTCGATATGCACATCTAGGTAGTATGTCCTTATTATCTACACCCCAAGGTAGAATGGGGAATAGAAATATGGTTACTACAGGTCTTCTTCCGACCAGCAGCAAAACCCTTGCCAATGTGGGGCGTTCGTTTGGCTGTGCGGGATAAAAGTACGCAGCCACGTACGGTAAGAATAGGAATGTCAAATTCGATGCCTAGTGTAGAGAGAGTGCCACGCTCTGTGTACGTCAAGATCCCTTGTAACAATTCTTTGAGGGGTCCGTAGTTGGCCTGTTGCAAGGCTAAATTTCTGTCCACATTCAATATACCCTCATTTTCCTGTGGCAGTCTAAATTTCCCCAACCTTCATCCCGAACGGCCTCTATTACAGGACCTTCCTATTGTTTGTATTGTTAATTTGTTCTCGTCCTGAACATGCATGAAATAGTTGCCACTGGACGTTTGGCAACCAACAATCAATCAATCAATCTTATTATCTACAATGTGTGATTTCAAAGGAGTTGTGCATGATGACAAACTGTTGCAGTAGTATATTTAGGCCAAAATTCTAAGTTCAAAGGGGCATAACTTATAAAAAAAAATAGAATCCTAATTTCCTGTCGAAATGCACATCTATATAGTATGTCCTTATTATGTACAAAGTTTCATGAAATTTTGTTATGCCTGTACCAAGTCAGGAATATGACAGTTGTTTTCCATTCGTTTAATGTGTTTGAGCTTTTGATTTTATCGTTTGATAAAGGACTTTCCGTTTTGAATTTTCCTTGAAGTACGGTATTTTTGTTATTTTACTTTTTCAGAGCTGTTGCGATGACAAGAAAAGGATTGACGGACTGACGGACGGGTCAAAAACGTAATACCCAACGCATCCTTGTCGAGTAGGGTATACTAAGCTTCTTCTGTTTGTACTACTTTGATATATAATATAAATAATATATTACTAAATGAAACTGCTATTTCTATTTTTGACAATTATAAGAATTACATTTAAAAAGTGCTTAAAATCTGAAGATAAATAGGACATTTTTTTATTAATACTATTCCCTTTTGTAACTCTTTCTTCTCTAGTGTTAATTTTCCTTCCCTGACGTTCCTTTCGCTCTTTCAACAACTTTTTCCAAGAACATCCCTGTTTTCTACAATAATTTCTTTTGTTTTGGAATTAAAAATAGTCTTATTTTTTCCCTAAAAGCTGATTCACACTTTTGAAAACGGATAAAAAGTAACTGAATAACAAAAATACCGAACTCCATGGAAAATTCAAAACGGAAACGGTCAAAATTAAAAGCTCAAACACATCAAACGAATGGAAAACAACTGTCGTATTTCTGACTTGGTACAGGCATTTCCTTATGTAGAAAATGGTGGATTAAACCTGGTTTTATAGCTAGCTAAACCTCTTACTTGTATGACAGTCGATAATATTGACAACAATGTGTGAACAAAACAAACAGACATAATAGGTAAAAATGTCAAAAATAGGGATACAGCAGTCAAAATTGTGTTATAATCTTAATCACTATAAAAACAAACAAATATGTCATAAAAGAAAAACAAAATGGCATATAGACAAAGCACATAAGCAAAAATGAAAGACAAGATTGCAAAAAATGACCATAGCACAACAACACAATGGCGGGATGTATAAGTACCGAGCCACGCCAAAAGGATATTATCAAAAATGAACTAAACAGGTTAATAATTTACAAAGACAAATAAACGTAATTAAGATGATAAACAACATCAGTACCTAGAATCTATACCTCAAGACCATCATGTATTATTTGTGGAGTTGATGCGGAATATTTATCAACAAGGTCTTGGTATCTTCCGATGAACTTTTTTAGAAAAAGGACGAGACGTTCTTTCACATAACCCTGGTTCATCAACTTTCTGCTCGGACACTGGTGACGTTTTATAAAGTCTGAGTAGCAGCTGCAAGCTCTTGAATACCGAATGAGTTGGGAAATGTATATCCCATATGCAGGTGAAGTTGGGATATTGCTACTAAGGTGATAATTTCAAAATTAAAATCGTCTCGTTTGTCATAGATTCTGATACTGAGATCACGGCTTATGTCAAATTCGACGTATAAGACTAAAAATGAGGTGGAGGAAGCCACGGGGGGTCTCTTCCTATATGAAGGTATATACATATGTGCCGCTGGAATGGGTCCCTTTTTTGATACGTCAAATATATCAATGGGGTGCAATTTTATTGAGGAAATATATCAATAGGTAGAAATTGACCAATTGTGATATTATATTTAGGTACTATTTGAGCTGATAAATATATGAATGGGTTATGATTTCGCTGTGAAATATATGTATAGATAGGGATTTCACAATTATTCAATATATGAATGGGGGGTGTTTTTTAAATCCCAGCTGCACAACTGTACCCAAAATCCCATGTTGCCCTGAGACAAAAACTGGGGGTGATCTCAGGTGCTCCGGAAGGGTAAATTACCTGTTCATAGATTTTACATGACTTTCCATGACCGTGGCTATTCGTCTTTATTAAAAATATCCTTTTGGGTTTTAAGTAATATTTTCATCTCCTGGTTATCTCCCTTGCGTCTCCAACATAAACAATCAGAAGTTGAATATTTGGGAAACATATAAAATTTAGTGACATTATAATGTAGATGGGACTGGCATGCACAAGACCTGATATAAACAATGTCATAGACTTTCCACAAAAAGTATTGTTGCTCGGGAAAAGCGGTGCAGGTACAATGAAAAATTAATATGAGTCATCTTTATAGAGCTACATGTAGGACCCCCCTTTTTATATATATATATATATAGATTTATCCAAAACCAAAGAAGTAAATCTTGAACTTCTTGCTTTTTAACTAACACAATTATTTGTTTTGATTTAAGAATCGCAATGTACAATAAGCTGCAAAAATATATTTAAAAGACATGTACAATAAGCTGCAAACATTTCTTTAAAGCATCCGGTTTTTACCTGGACGGCTGCACACACCTTATTAAGCTCATTTGTTTAGCGAAATATTGCATGAATATACAAAATATAAAAACTATTTTTATAACACTCATTCATGTGTTAAAGTTACATTCTTAGGCATTTATATTATATATGAGGGGCCTGATGGGGGGGTCTCATCACGATTCACGAGTTGATTTTTTTGTCAATCATGATTCATGGAAAATAAATTTCAATGATCACGGATCACGAAAATATAAAAAAAAAAAAAAATCTGTAGAAAAACGGATCACGCTAGTGAAAATGTGCCAATCACGAAGAACGAAAATAACCCATCAGGCCCCTCATATATATATATATATATATATATATATATATATATATATTTAGTATTTTCCACGTAAGGAATATCTATTTTTTTTAGTAGATATTCCTTACATGGAAAATAAAAATATGGGGGTTTCATACACAAACTAAAATTATTGTAAAATAGTATGGATAAGAGCAATAACACATTTAGTTAGATAAACTATTAAGAAATATTTACTAGAAATAAAACGCACACACAAAAATTGCAGAAAAAGGGAGGTCCAATCACCCAAGTGCCTGTGACAGAAACCTGCAAAGACAAGGAAAAAGAAACACTTGTCACTGATTCTTTGAATGGGAGAGTTTGCAGTTTTGGTTCTTTGAATTGTTTGCATGTTGATTCATTGATTTTTGCACAAAGAAATCAATTTTTGATAATAAAACTTTATATAAATATTAATATATAATTTTTTTTATTCACAGGTAAAACAAGCTTACTGTATGCTTGGAAGCTAGGATGTGATTCTGTCATTAAACCAATACCTACAGAGGATTTTAATGTTGAAAAGATTGAATATAATGGACAAATCTACATAATATGGGATCTTAGTGGTGCTCCCAATTACCATCCAAGATGGAGACAGTTTTACCATGGAACAAATGGTATTTATTCACATCATGATTGATAATGAATGATACTTACACTGATTATATGCCTGCAGGATGAGAGGGGATAGCGGCAATGATATTTGTCTTAAAATAATATTTCTTGATGTTGGGGAGTTGTAATAAATGCTGATATTTAAAGAACAACTAATCCCAAACATTTAAATGTAAAAAAATATTCATAGAGTGATTGAAACAACACATTACTTCACAAATAACCAGATTAGTTATTTCTTTAATAACATTGAATTTTAATGTGAATTAAGTAGCAAAGGCAAAGGGGACTCATTTTAAAACAAAATTTTTTGCTGCTTTGTGTAAAATTTTATCAAATTCAACTATGAAGAATTTCCATTACCCAAATACTATTATTTGAAGTAAATGTATTTCTTCTGGTTTAAAGGAGCATGATCTTACTGTACTCTTACATGTATATGATAAAAGATTTTAAAAAAAAAGACATCTAAAGACCAAGTTCACCATATATTGTAAGTAAACTCTTGTCTGGTAGATGTAAAAATACCATCTACACCAAATGAAATGCTCAAACTTGTATTGATTCTATACAAGTTTAGAATGAGTTTATCAGGACTACATCAAATAAAATAACAATCATTAACTCGTGTCTATACTGTAAATTCAGAAATTATTGCCAGGTTTTTATTAATGTGAATGCGACTGGATGGGTATCGCAATAATAAAAACTCTTATCAGGAGAACATGAAATTCTTCCAATAGTTGTTTTTCATCTATGTTACACTATAGTACACTATTTAACAAGTCTGTATTCTTCCACCTCAATACCACTATTAATTTTAGTTATTTAGTTAAAAAAATAAATTTAGTTTATTGTAGTAAGAATTTTACCCAGGACGGGTTCAAACAGAAAGATTTTGAAAGGTGAGAAAACTGGGCACCTTACAATCAGTATGATTTTATTAGATGACAATACAATACTAAAAATCCAGGCTAGAAATAAGGCATAGGTATTTTAATTCAGTCACCATGGTCACAGACCCACGATTTCGTGGGTGTGTTCTAGTATATATATACACCATATGTCAGACTCTATAAATCACACATTTTCTAGACAAGTTGTGAATTATTTTAACAAGACCTATACTAAAGATCTGCAATCAACATGAAGCAAGAAACAAAGAAAACTGCTTTTCGGTCTCTAGATGTATGTATGATGGCAGACCTTTGATAATTTTTATTTAATTTATTCACAAATTTTATAGACTGAACAATTTAGTGCTTGGCATATAGGTATATATGTTGACCTCTTGATGTCTTTTAGTAGCTGTTAATTCAGAAATTATTGTGACCTTTTTATTTATGTTATAATTTAAATGCATCAGTATCAGGTTCACAATAATAAATCTTGCATTCATAATTTCAGTAGTGATTTTTCTTCACAATATTTTTGCAATTACATTAGTTAGAATTTTTTTTTACCATGAATCAGTGATTCCCAATAATAAATGGACACATTAATTTCTGAATTTAAAATATTTGTATTGTTGGGATGCTGTCTCATTTCTGTATACCCCACATCTTATCTAATTCATATTTACTCCACCTTTTTTTGCAGTGCTAGTTATAGTTGTAGACAGCAGTGACAAAGACGTTATGAGATCACTGAGGGAAGATGTCACCTCCATTCAACAGGAAAGGGATTTAGATGACATTCCATGTGTACTTATATTCAATAAATCTGACATAGCTGGTAGGTATATATGTAGTTATAACCACACAAACTAATTTGAATCATTTTAAGTCACTTTTATTATCATATTTAATATAATTTTTTTTATATTTGAAAAATAGTTTTTGTATTAAGGTGAATGCATAAAAATTCAACAAATGTGTAATGTAAATATAACTGTAAAAATGTTGGATTAACTTTGATAATGATTCAGCTATCCAACGACCCAAGTAAACCAAAAATAGACCATGAGTGATATAGTCACTACATGGTTAGAAGTATTTTGTCAAGAATCTTCACTATAGGGTAAGCAGTCATAGGACCCAATCATTCAAAGCCTAGAAATTTGTGAATGGAGTAAACACTATTAAACTGAAGATCTGATCTCAACACCAAATTCTCAATGGGACGCAAAATAAAAATAACAGCTGGTACTGCTTTGATTCCTGGCTTAAAAAAGGTTTATATGTTGAGGGGATAAACCAGTTTTATGCCAACTCAATATGGTTTTATGGGAGTATTGATTAGAAACTGTAAATCATGCCCATTTGAAACACCAAATATAAAAAGCAATCAAAGTTATATGAGTTAACTACTTCTGTCCAATACAAATTTGTTTAAGAAGTTGAGGCAAAGTCTGGATGCCCAAGATTTCATTAATTACAGTAGGTCAGAAAGATTGGGGATGAATTACATTACATTTTGCAATGTAGTTCTTTGACAAACTTTCGAGCACAATATTTGGATACTTTTTTTCTTGCACAGAAGTAATATACTAAAGTTTGGAAAACTATTTCAGTTAAAATTAAAAAATAAGTTAAAAAAGCTGTGCAAATTTATCAGGGTTATAACTTTTCAAGCAAGTCTTCCTGGTTAATCACCACTCTTTGCCAGTACTGTGTTATTTTGTTTTATTTTATTTTTTCTTCTCATCTTGTCATGTGTGTTTATGTTATGTTATAACTTTTGATGAACTTCTTTGTACCATTGTAACTATATGCATAGTGTTTGAGAAATAAAGAATCTTGAATCTTGAATCTTGAAAGATGGATCCCAAGCTGTTGGAAATTCAAAAGTTAATAATTTGAGTTATAGGCATTACAGAAAAGTGAAGTACAAACATCTTTCATTGATTTGTGAAAGTATTAGTAAGGATGAAGAAAAACAATCAGCGCTGTTTTTAACATACATTCAACCACCTTGCAATATGCCAAATTTCAAAGAAAATTTACTTTATAAAGTTATGAAAATGTTTTCTTTCAGTGCATTTTTTGCCAAAAATCTTAATTGCTTTTAACACTACATAGACCTTATTTTGATGTGTCAAACCTTGTTCATCCTTACTATGAATCAGATGGCGATTTCAGTGATTGACAGTTTGATGAAATTAAGCATGCTGGCTGCTGTAACAAGTTTTTTTTAAAAACGGTTACAAATTGATAGTATATAAATAATGGAAACTAAAAAAGCTGAAAAAAGTGAAAAATCCATATCCTTGTTTTTGAGATATATAAAGCCATTAAAAATTTGGCAGGAAATGATTCTCTCTAGAATTTTCATACATTTAACATTGTCACCTTTTTTCTTTTAAAAACTATGAAAAAATAACAAGGATTTTATAAGGTTATCAAAAATGGCTTTTTATTAAAACTATATAATTATGAAAATCAGTTTCGATAGCTATGTTTTGTGTATGATTTCTTACAAAAACATTTATCCATACATTCTGTGCAGGATTCCCGAGAAGTTCCGTTTGGTTCTTATATTATGTAATAAACTGTGATGATGACCACATGTTATTAAGTCACAATTTTACCATAAAATTCAGCTCTTAAAAATTTATTCTTCTAGAATTTATATTTTTAGGTGAGAAAGCAGAAGCAATAGAGAAGACTACAAACTTCCCAAGTTCACCATATCTTCATGTTATCTCCTGTTGTGCCAAAGATGACAATAGTTGTAAAGCAGCTTTAGCAAAAATATCTGATGTATGTAGGAATTCAAAATTGCCAGAACAATAGATCCATTTTTATGTTGTATTCAAAATATGCTGTTGGTTATTATATTGAAAGATCCTCACAAAACTCAATCTAAACATCTGTAATTTGTCTTATTTTATCAGTTAATATCTAAAAACCATTCAAAAGATTAACTAAGGGCTCTTCTAGAATTAAACACATTGGGGGCATATGAGTCACCTTTTTTTGGGCCCTAAGGGCTATTCCATTAAAATGTATGTGGGAGGGTAGGAAGGGAAGTTTAATTATTGAATGTGGGTCATGGGTCTTTTTTCAGTATGCGTCTATTACCATTATGCAAAATTATCTAAAAAATGGTTCTTGGTTGTAGGGATATTTTGAAAGTCCCTTCCTACCCTCCCACATACATTTTAATGGAATAGCCCTAACCACCCCTAATATAAAATTTCCATTTTACTAATAATTCTTAAAAAATTCTAAGAAAAATTTTACCTCCACAATTGATAAATTTGAGTACCCAGCCCCCAAAACCAGACAATTTTGGGATGGCCCTAAAATGATGGGCTCCAGTAAGGTCAGTATGAATATTAAAGCCTTTAGTACAATCTCTCAACTTAAAAAGATTTATAAAATGAGCAGATTTATGATTAAGGATGTTCCGGGCTAAGATTCTAAATTAATCATTTTAAAAATGAAGTCTTTTTCAACAGCTAATGTATAATACATTAAAATTAAACAAAAATCAAGAAAGGTGTGTGTGTGTGTTTGTTTTTTGTTTTGTTGTTTTGTTGTTTTTTGGATTTTTGGAATTTTTTTAGGTTCTAGTATTTTAGAAATTAGAATTTTTGACAAATAACAATGTCTCTTGATTTTCATATATATGCTGAACTGTATGAAAAAGTATTAAATATGCACAAAATGTCAAAATATTTTACAAGAAGTGTATGGAAGATGTGTTTAAAAAAATAATGAGAGATATAGGGACAAAAATTGTTTCAGTGCATTGCCTAAAAAAGCAATGGGGCTTAGAAAATATAAAGTAAGAGTTGAAAACATGAGAAACACATATTCAATCATGAATAGAAGAAGATGTGGTGTAAACATCAAAAAGACAGCAACCCAGTGACAGACAACTGGAAAGATGATTCATGGTCTAGTAACTTTAGTAGTCAAGATCAAATCTTAAGTTAATAATGGTTTTTGAACATTCAATTTTTGTAAACAAATGAAACTAACTCAAAACATTTTTGTCAAACATACAACAATTTGTCACAGAAGGGAGACATAGTAATCATACAGTCTGTCCTTGGTGTCTAAGGTGTTAAAATTTAGGTTCAGTCTGTGGTTGAATTTCTTTTTAACCATCAATAACTTTGTCAAACCTTCATGATCAACAAACAATATCTGGATAAATACTAGCTAGACTAGAAACCGGGTTCTCTGAACCTTTATGAATGTTTCATCATTCAATAGTTATGAATTTCATAATCTAAAAGAAACTACGTAAAGTTAAGTTTATTTTTTTTTTTTTTTCTGACAGCATGTGTGGTAGGTATATTTTTGCTTTTCACTGTATTTGGCAGTTAAGCTTGTACTTTAATGTATGAAAAGCTTTACAATTACGCAGCATTTTCAATAACATAAGACAAAGACTTATGAATATTTTGCTTACTTATTGAATTCAGGTTGTACATGTTTTTTATTTAAAAAAAAAGGTTGTATTGTTTTACTTTTTTTATATACATGATTTTATTTATATGTTTTAGTGCTAACATACAAATTGTTGTCCATTTACGTGTATTGTGTGAACATTTTTAAAATTTTATAATAAAATATTATTAGTTTTGTGATGCTGAAGTGCATAAAGCCATACAAACCAACAAAGTTATTGTAAGGTCTACATTTTATCTGGCAGGGTTCAACTGACCTTGATCTCATTTTCTTGGTTCATTGGTCAGTCTTAAGTTTTCATGGTACGGTCTGTTTCTCAGATAATATAATCAATAGGTTAACTATATTTGGTGTATAAAAATTGTTTGTAAGGTGTACATGTCAGTCTGGCAAGGTTCATCTGACCTTGACCTTAATTTTCATGGTTCATTGGTCTGTCGTTGATAAATAGAGACTATCACAGTACGGCGGGAATCATATGTGTGCTTATACGCGTTAGAGCTATCTATATGTAACGTCATGGTTGCTATGCGTTAACGTCATTGTATTCCAGCATTAAATCATTCATTTGTATAGACGTCTTTTTCTCACTTCATAACACAATGCATTCTACAATTATACGATCACGAGATTGGTACCGAGACCAGGATAAAAGATGGATTCGACGAGAATCAAGTCTATTCGAGCATGAAATAGAGCCGCCGTCACGAAATTCTTCAAGAAACTAGATGAGTTGAACACTGATTCGGAGATGGATATTGATATTGCAGGTCCAATTATTGATGCTATAGTGAAAAAACAAAGTGTTATTCTTAAACTGGATGAACAGATCTTGGAAAATACCTCGGAAGAAGATATAGAAGTTGAAATCACAGATGCAGATGAGTATAATTTAGAACTTGAAACACATTTACGCCGTTATAAGAAGTAAGCACAAAAAATTACACGTACATGTACAGAATTATCTCATGAAAGTATCCCAAGCACACGCCCAATCATGAACATACATGAAGTCAATCCCGAAACCCGTCCTGTAATGAACACAGAATTCATCCCAAGATTTTCGTCACAAACTAGTTCACTGTCAAGTCAAAACCACCACTTGCCGAAGCTTACCTTACCTACTTTTTCTGGGGATATTCTTGAGTGGCAATACTTTTGGGAGTCGTTTGAAACCACCATTCACAGTAATCATACTCTAACTGATGTACAGAAATTCACCTACCTACAGTCACTTCTTGATGCAGACGCTATGAATGTCATAAATGGTTTGAACTTGTCAAGTGCAAATTACCACAAAGCCGTAGAATTATTAGTAAATCGCTTTGGGAAAACACATAAAATTGTGAACGCATATATGAAAGCACTTTTAGATCTGCCAGCACCCTCATGCACATTAGATAGTCTCCGTAATTTTTCTGATAAGTCAGAGGTCTATAACTGTGGATTGGAATCTTTAGGACAGTGCCAAGATACGTATGGTTCCCTGTTGATCCCAGTTATTCTTGGTAAGCTCCCTATTACCGTAAAAAGTAACATAACAAGAGAAAACGGAAACGATGACTGGACACTTGGAAATCTTAGACAGGCAATACAAAGAGAAATATCTATTCAAGAAGCCAGTACTAATGAGACAGCAGAAAATGTGATCCCAACCGCAAGTTTTCATGCAGGAATAAGTATGAGAACGAACCCAAATATACCAAAAACTGACAACTATTTCCAAAGTAAAAGGTGCATTTATTGCAATGATCATCATTTCTCTGCAGATTGTAAAAAATACACAGATAGCACATTAAGAATGATGATAGTAAAGAAGAGACATCTATGTTTCAATTGTTTGGGTAACCATAAGATATCAGAGTGTGGATCGAAAAACACCTGTCGTAAATGTAACTGTAAGCACCACACAAGTTTGTGCAAAGAATCGTCCGATCAGCAATCACAGAGTAAGCATACTAGTGATAGAGAAAATAGCACGCCGATCATGCATTCAGCTGCTATTCAACAAAATTCCACCGTCTTCTTGAAAACCACAATAGCTCTTATATGGTCACAGAGTCAGTGCGCCGACGCTAACATACTTTTTGACGAAGGAGCTCAACAATCCTTTATAGCACAGGAATTAGCCGACAAGTTGAAAGTCAAGCCAGACAGAAAGGAAACCATCAACATATCCGCCTTTGGAGATTCAGACTAGAATGTTCGCCACATGAACAAAGCCACAGTATACTTAGAGGCAGCCTCAGGAGAGAAAATACCTTTACAGGTATTGATTGTACCTACCATAGCAGCGCCGATCCAGAATAATCGCAGGTACATTTCACAGAAACTACAGTATTTGAAGGGACTTAAACTAGCCCACCCCTTGTCAGAGGATAATACCTTTGACCTTTCTTTACTCATTGGAGCAGACAACTACTGGGATGTAATTAAGGACAATATAGTTCGAGGCGACGGACCGACAGCGATGAGCTCAAAAATAGGATATTTGTTGTCTGGACCACTTACTTCATGTGCAAGACAACAACGCAATTTACACATGATGCATGTATTAACAAGTCATGAAGGAGAGGATCATGATATTGAAAGGTTTTGGAGATTAGAGTCCCTTGGAATACGTTTAATATATGTAGTAAAACCTTGATATTAAAGGTTTTTAAAATAATTTCAATCATGAACAGTAAATAAACTAATCATAGATACCAGACTTAAAATTTTATAAGCCAGACGGATGTATGTCTACAAAAGACTCATCAGTTACGCTCTAATCGAAAAAGTTAAAAGTGCCAAATAAAGTACAAAGTTTAAGAGCATTGAGGAACCAAAATTCCAAAATGTTTTGCCAAATACAGCTAAGGTAATCTATTCCTAGCGTAGAAAATCCTTAGTATTAGTTTTGTAAACAGTTAATGTATACTGTAATGATAAAGCATCTCAGAGTATGCACTTGTTTTTGTGATGTATTCAACATTGAATATACTGGTTTTAATGAGCCAAAAAGTCTAGAAAAATTCATAACTTAAGCAAAATTTTTTTTTTCAAAGTTCGTTCTTATGTTGTACTGTTACACCACTGTCCCAGGTTAGGGGGAGGGTTGGGATCCCGCTAACATGTTTAACCCCGCCACATTCTGTATGCATGTGCCTGTCCCAAGTCAGAAGCCTGTAATTCAGTGGTTGTCGTTTATTTATGTGTTACATATTTGTTTTTCGTTCATTTTTTGTACATAAATTAGGCCGTTAGTTTTCTCGTTTGAATTGTTTTACATTGTCATTTCCGGGCCTTTTATAGCTGACTGTGCGGTATGGGCTTTGCTCATTGTTGAAGGCCGTACGGTGACCTAAAGTTGTTAATTTCTGTGTCATTTTGTCTCTTGTGGAGAGTTGTCTCATTGGCAATCATATCACATCTTTTTTATATATAGTTTTTTTTTTTAGGGAGTTTGCTAAGGCTCAAAAGTTTAATATAATTCACTGGACAAATGACATATGCCAGACATTACCATCTTAGTATATGAAACAAAATATGAATTATTGAGGTCTTCTACCTTCTGTAATATAAAGCTTAAGTTTTGATCTCTCTCTAGGCTAGTCAGTGCTAGATTAGCATCCCTGCATCTCAAATTCTGACAAAATAATATTGTGGATTCATTATTTTACGTGGGATAACTATTTCGTGTGTACATATGAACCATGCATTTAAATTATTTTCTCTTCTGGTCTACAATCACATAGATATGAATGTAATTTTCATTTTCATTTGTACAATTTTTCTTGTTGACAGAAAGATACCCCCACCTTACAAGAGATTATTACCACATATTAAAATAATAAAGCAAACAAATTCAATTATCTCCCTTTTACCACTTAGGACTGGAATTATATTTTTGTATGCATATTCTCAGGTAATATTCTTTAACAAGTAGGATCAAGATTATATTCCTTTATGAAAAAGTTCTACAACTGTGTAAAGTTTCATTAATACACCTCCAGTTTTAAGGAGTTGGACTTACAAGAAACCATTATGCACAAATTGAAGGAAAAAAGGTTCCAATATCTCCCCTTTAACACGTAGCACTGGGATTATACTCCTTTATGCATGTACTTGGGGTAAATTTCTACAACTGTATTAAGTCTTAACAATGTCCATTAAGTCTACTAAAAAGCAGAAGGTTTACAAGGCACATGGACAGACTAAAATACAGAAAAAGTAAGTTCAATATCTCCCCTTTAACAAGGGCTGTGATTGTATTCCTCTATGCCCATTGTCACGTAGTGTTCTACACCTGTAAAAAGTTTCATCAATATGCCACAAGTCTGTTAAGAGTTGGTTAACAAGGCACATTGGTAAAAAGTCCTATGTAGTAAGTTTGATTATCTCCCCTTTAACATATAGGACCAGAATTATATTGCTGTATGCACATCCTCAGGTACTGTCCTACAACTGTGTCAAGTGCCATCAATAATCATCCAGTTTTTAAGGATTGGCTGACAACTCACACAAGTAGACAGGCAGATAGAGTTAGTAAGATTGATTATCCCCCTTTAAACACATTGGACCAGCAATATATTCCTGTATGCACATCATCAGGAAGTGTTCTACAAGTGTGTAAAGTTTTATCAATATCCCTCTAGCCTGTTAGTTGACTGACAAGGCTCATGTGTAGGCAGACAGACAGAGAAAGTAAGTTGGCTTATGGCCCCTTTAACATTGTTGGACCAGGATTATGTTCCTGTATACCCATCCTCATGTACCATTTTTACAACTCTGTATTGTTTCATCAATATCTATCTATTAGGATGATGGATGGCTGCTTAATGTCCAGTGGCAAATTTAAATGCATATTCAGGACAAGAACATGTTAATGTAATATGAATATTAACCCGGCTTTTTACAAGACCAACACGCTGAGCAAGATTGTTAATGCGCTCTATAGCTAGTTCACAAGGTAACAGTCTGCAGGAAGACATGTCACCATACCCGGACACATTATTGTGACTCAGAGCCGACCAGTTTTTGCTCTTACTCATTAATGTTTGTGCTAAGCAGAGAGGCAGCAAATACCAATTTTAAAATCTTTGGTTTGACTCGAGGCAAACACTCTACCACAAGATCACTGAGGCAGACTATCCATTAGGAGGAGTTGCTCTTACAAGGCAAAATGGACAGACAGATCCACAGTATTTCTCTAAAAATATTCAGCTGACTTGTCTTAAGTAGAGAAATATCTGACCACCCTCATTTTAGTGGTAGAATCTACAAATATTCAACCAATCTTGAAGCTGTAGTTGTAACATAATAATAAATCCTCTTTAGGAAACTTGAATTTGGCATTAGAAAAATTCTGACAAAATTTCTTTTATGTTTTATATAAAGAACTTTAATTTTAATATAACAATTGACTGACAGCCAATATTCAGTATAAACAATTTGTCAACTAAAACTAGGTCAGATTGTTCTGACTGAATTTTAAAAACTGTGTTTCCAACAACTTCAACAATACCATACATAAAACACTTAATGTCTTTATTTTGGGTAAAATTTTAGTTGATGATTTATGTTTACACACAAACTTAAGGTGTATAATACTTCCATTTAGTCTTAAAATTAATCACATTTTTACAAAAACAAATGGTATATCATATTTCAATTCAGTCTTAAAAAATCCATTGTTTTAAATCTATTGTGTTTTCACATTTATAAAAAAGAATATGATTGTTTTGCGATTAAAATCCAGACATTCTTATTATTGTTGTACATGTACCGGCATCTGTTTTTAGCACTTCATAAATTTATTTTACATTCAATTGACTGTTCTGATTTCATTACATGAAATATCATCACATTTAACTTTTCCACAAAGGAACAAATTCATTTTTAGAAATGTTTACTTTTTTCCATTGTTGTTTGAGTGCTTGTTTTAATTATGCCACTTCATATCAGATGAGATTATCTGTTCATCTGCCAGTAATTCGTACCATTGCTAAATTTTGATTTTGACCTTGCTGTGATGATTGGGTCTGTGACTTTGATGTGCGTGGCGTACTTGGGCCACGCGGTACATTTGCTGTGGCGCCACGTTGGTTAATCATTTGCTGCTGTTGTTGATAACCCTGTTGACCTCCAGTGTTGTAAGGACTTTGAGCTACTGATGTGGTGGGAGGATATTGACCTGGGTATTGTTGTTGTCCCTGCTGATACTGCTGATAATTGGTACCTTGTGGATAAACCTGCTGTTGACCGGGAACCTGTTGTGTTGTAGGATATGATGGTTGTGGATAGCCAGGATATTGGCCCTGGGCAGAATACTGTTGTTGAGCTGCCTGAACATAATTTGCCTGTTGGTAGCCAGGAGGATATTGAGAGTAGTGGGCCATGCCCTGAGGTGTTTGTTGCCCTGCAGGATAATTCTCTGACGAGCTTCCACCACCCCCACTCATTAAATTCTGTATAGACTTACTACCCTCTCCAGACAAGAACGATGAACTGTACATGCTACGAGACATATAAGGATTATACGATGAGAATTCTGTTGTTTGTGCAGCGCCTACTGTTTGTATAGTTTGTATATTTGAGTCATCTGATGAATGTGATTTAGACGCAGCATTTACCATGGCAGTTTGTCTCAGATCAGAACTAGAACTAGATTCTTTTACTTTTGGTGTTGTTCGACTATCTACTCTCGCTAATTTACTCTCTGGTGCACCATCTGCTGGAGTGGTCTGTAATTACATAATTCAAACTACATATTTAAATTTTTATAACTGGTGGAAAAGGAGGACAAGAAAGGGGGCAAATATTATAATTATGGCTGACCCTCAACTTTGCAGAAAAAAGTTTTGCATTAAAATCAAGTTTTCAGTAGAAGTCAGTTAAAAACATACTATACTTTATAATGATTGGTAAAATCCATGTTTTTTGTTTCTTAAAAAAAATCACTTCCTATTACTTTTCTTTCCTTCTACTGTCTATTTTAATGAACAAAAGGAGATGTTAGGTATTCATATATAAGACAGCAACCAAACCACAACCCAAAAGATCTAGATTCAACCATAGACCACAAGTTATCATTTTCCATATTAAATCATTTTAGAAGGTGGTAGGTTTTAATAAGTACACAAATAAATAAAACTTTTATGCAACTTTAGCTTCATTTATTATTGCTATTATTTTTAATTTATTACTGCCGAAAATGCAACTGGTTGAGTGTCCTGAACTCATATTTTAATTTTACTTTATAGTTCATTTCCATTAATACATTTCTGCAATTTTGAGGTACTTACAATTTAATTATTACAATATATATTTAACAAATGTTTAAATATAGGTAAAATTGAGCATTTCAAAAAAATAAATTAACTTCCTTATAAGGATGATATAAATGACTTTTCAAAGAAATCCGAGCCTACACACCATACTTACACTACGTTTCTGTGGGGGTGGTGGTGGTGGTGTTTGTCTGTGGGATTTACTAGGCGTGACTGGGGGAGAATCTTCATGTTGCTGGGGATTTTTGCTGTACAGATCTAAGACCTTATGACATATATCTGAAAACAAAAGGTTATACAATGTATGTTAATGAACATAAAGAAAATATACATAATTCTAAATACTATATGTTCAGAAAATTGCAATGAGATAATTGTCGCAAAAATAAAAACTCACATTTTAAATTTTGATAGCATTTGTTGTTCCCAGTATTTCTTAAATTCGCAAATATTAAACACTTATTTGTTTCGATTGTTCAACAGTTGCAAAAATAAATGTAGGCAAAAATTTTTGTTTTTACAGTATTATACATCTATGAAATACAATTGATTAAAAAAACCTGTACAATTATTTACATTTTAGTTAAATATATTCAAGGAAGCAAAAAGCCTAAGTTTCAAAAGAACAGCAATACAGAAAACCTTAGATGTTCAGTAAAGTTTGAATGACTTACTTCTTTAAGAGCATTTTGAATTTTTGCCATTATGGTTTAAAAATATATTTTCGGCTTTTTCTCTATTCTTTTGAACCAAATTGTATGAGCCTTTATAAGCTCTCTATATGGTGTTAGTTTATGTTTTATATTGTGAACTTATTGTGAACTTAATCTAGGTTGTTATCTTTTTTCATACTGTCCTAAGTACATTTTCCTTTAATACCCCAAAAAACACAAAGAACAACATATCCTTTAACAACTTTATAACAGAATTAGAGTTTCAATGAATGGCTGCATCCTTATTTCCATTACTTTTACTTTTAAATATAATCTGGTTTGGAGTCTGAATGTTTTTTATAATTATCAAAATTGTTATCAAGCCTGCATAAGAACACCTGGTAACTTTAATCTAAATTTTCCTAATTTGTGACATGAAGAGGCTCATTAAATTACCTTTTCTATTAAGTAAAATATTAAAAGAGGTGATGACATGTATGAGGGTATGGATGGGGGACCTTCATTTCTGTATTCTTTAATTTTTTAGGCCATTTTTTTCTATTCTTTATACTTTTTGCCCAATATTCTCTATTCTTTATTTTTTTGGTCCATTTTTCTCTATTCCTTATATTTTTTGTCCATTATTTTCTTTCCTGTAAACCTCACCCACACCCTCATGTATAGATTTAATCTATTTTGACAAATATACATGTAGGAATAAAAGGAGATGTGGGGTATACATTTATGAGACAGCATGCCGATGACAAAAATATGGTAACCAGAAGACATCCCAGAGGTCTGTATTAAATTACTGGTGCTTTTATTATGAGAGTTTTCAAATTGGATTGGAATACCACACTTAATATGCATAATGCTAATTTCTTTCAAGATTTCATTGGGTTGATTCTGGTACAGTGCAAATTCTAGGGCCAAATATATGCCTATGTGGACCTAATCTGTAAATCAATTTTGTTTCTAAAAATTTACACTTAGCTTAATCTTACCCTCCATTAATTCCACTGTAATATCTTCCACAATCCCTTCCCACCATTTTAATTTACTTCCTGGTGGCTTGCCTTGCCAGTCAGATATCTCAAACTTTGCCAGACGTGTTGCCAGATACATCAGTGATATACCTATGACCTCAGGTTCCCATTGTAAACATAAAGTTGTACATAAACTGAAATATATAACGATTAATGTTGTAAACAAACATGAAAAGTTTAATTCCAACACAAAAGGAGGAGGAGCAAACATGGTGAAACAGCTATCAAATTTACTCCACACACAAAGTTAATAAATGTTATTTTCATTTATACCCTTTTACTTGTATATTATTTAAAACTGAATGTTGACTTCTAGATTTCTTGTTTTGTTGGCTTGCTGTCTCAAATATGCATTCCGAGCATATTCCTTCTTAAACCTCTTTTGTTATGGTATACAGTAAATTCCTGTGTTACTACTATACCAACCTATCATTTATAAAAGTCCATGCCATCTGTACAAGTTTCTGTGATTTCTCCTTTTCAACTGTAAAATAAAGTAATAAAATACTTAAGGATGTTCGCAAATCTTTGTTTTTGACTTTTTGTCAGATATTCAGAATTCTCTAGTTATATTCATGTTGTGCCAATAAGAATTTTCCCCGTTTCCCCCTACTTTTATTTTCATAGTTTTTGAAAGAAAAAAGGTGTCAATGTTAAATGCATGAAAAGTCTAGAGAATCATTTCCTGCCAAATTTTCAACTGATTTTATCTCAAAAACAAGGACACAGATCTTGACCTGTCATTTTTTTTTTTTTACTTTTTAAGTTCTGTTATTTGTATACTATCAATTTATATCAGTCTTTCAAAAAGCTTGTTATTTTGAAACAGAGGAGCAACCATTCTTAACAGAGGAAAAGATTAGCAGTGACCCAGTAGACTAGATTGCCAAATTTTTGGCTGGACCCCTAAATATCTGAAAAGGACCACATTGCTAATGTTAATCTTTCATTTTGTGGCAGGTTTAATGCCTAGCTGGAAAATGTTAGTCTGGTTCCCTACTTATAAAACCTCTTTCCATGTCTCTATCTCCCAATGGTTACCCTGACTGTGTTAAATGTCTTTATTAATAAATGCTTTGAAAAAAGATTTAAAATTAGAAGAAAATCTGCTACCAAGTCACATCCGACAGCATGGGAATTTTCCAAACATTTAAGATTAAATATTTAATGTGACTAATATTTTATCAATGTCTAAACCCCTACATGCAAGAAAAACAAGAAATGAAGGATAATGCATGTATGTGGTAATTGTGTTTGACAAAGTCATGAAAGTTGTGGTTAAAAAAAATGATAATCCATGTTTTGAATCTGTCTTCACTGTAACTTTCAGCTTTACTTTTCTGTCAATTTATTTGCCTGTGTAGCCTTATCACATAATTTCACAATAGCGAAACAAAAACAGTGAAAATCCTACAGGAACATAGTGATAAAGCAACTTACTTTTAACTTGTTTGGCAAATTTTAACAGGCAAGCATAAGGATGGTCCACTTGTAAATCAAATTTGATTGTCTGTAGAAGTATTCTTTCTAATGTCATTATTTCTTCCTTGAAAAATAAAAATACCAGTTTTAATAATTGCAGCAACTATTCAGTTATGTGTATCAAGCAATAAAAAGTCATCTTCTTAATTAATCTTATGTATCTGTTTTTGAAGCAGCATTTACAATGCCAGTTTGTCTTAGATCAGAATTAAAACTTGAAACTTAGAAATTTGGTGTAAATGTTTGTCTCCTGAAGCAACTTTGCTTTTGCAGTGCCATCTGCTGGATTAATTTGAAAATGTTCATTTGTATTATCCAATTAACTGTATTATTATTACTTCTGTTCAAATATAATAAAATATTATTATTAGCTTTTGTTATAGTGTTGACACTCTATAAACCAGTATTATTGTTATCATGGTAACCAGAAGATTCTTTCATAAAATTTTGAACATGCTCAAATCATGTCTGTATAAAACTGATTAGATCCTTAATAAGTATCATGTCAGAACATCATTTTTTCCTTTAATTGAATTCAAAAATTCTAAATAAAACTATAATAAACAAAAATACTCGATTCCAATCCCTGTCCTCCAAACAAAATTTGATTTGATTTTTGGCAATTTTTTTCTATTTTGCAAGAAGTTTTTATAGAAAAATTGGCATAAAATGAAGAAAATAAAAGATTAACCACCTCAACGTCTCTTCCACAAACTGTAAAATGAAAATCTAAAAATTCTAATGGCCTGATAAAATGAAAAAAACAAATGTACTTAATTTAAACAACTAATTTGGTGTATATAGTGATCATATGTTTTGAGCCTGAGTAAATTAAAACTTTACCTTAGGATCATCCGAAAACACGGCAAACAGTTGTGGAGACAGGATACTCTGTGTTATTTTAACGATGTCTTTACATTTCTTTGGAGTTTCCTCTACTTTACCAGCCAGAAATAAACAACCAGCGGCTGTTATCTGTAACCAAAAAAAAACCAACTGTACCATGCAACAAAAATAAGTCAGAATATTTTTTCAGATGGCTGTGACTAGTAATGGTTTAAGATGAGCTGGGGCAAATCATGTAATTGCGTATGCTAAGGCCATGGAAAATGAATATTAGTTTCCCCCAACTTGAGAAAATTATCAAGGTCCGGCAGACAGAAATTTGTTTTATTCTATTTTATTACTTATTTTTTTGTGAAAATTTGTGAGAATGTTGTTGTTAACCTGATCGTAAATTCTTATTTTACATTCTATATTGTGGTATAAGCTATCATGACAGTATGTGAAACTAAAGGGATGACAATTGAGCAAGGATGAAACACTTTTTTAAAAGAGATTATCAGACAATTTTAAAAAGCATTATTGAAAATTGTCAATTGAAACCAAAGCAACATTTTTTTTTCACCTGCAAAAAAAAGAAAAGAAAACTAGAGGCTCTCAAGAGCCTGTGTCGCTCACCTGACTCTACTTTGGTTTTAGAAATCATGTAAAGATAGATAAAAATCATAACATATACCCAAATAATGATTGAGGCCAAATTTGGTTTAATATTGGTCCAGTTATTTAATAAAATATCCTGTTGACCATCTTGAACATTCATGCCATGTTTGGTTTCATTCAATTCAGTGGTTCTCTAAAAGAAGACATTTGTATGTATTTCCCATAAGGTCCTAAATTAAACTAAGTCCCCCCCTGGGTGCCATCTTGGATCATGGACTGACTGCAAAGTAACAAGACTTGGTCAGCACCTCATAAGGAACATTCATGCCATGTTTGGTTTCATTCGATTCAGTGGTTCTCTGAAAGAAGACATTTGTATGTATTTCCCATAAGGTCCTATGTTAAACTAAGTCCCCCGCTAGCGGCCATCTTGGATGATGGATCGGCTGCAAAGAAACACCACTTGGTCAACACCTCATAAGGAACATTCGTGCCATGTTTGGTTTCATTCCTTTCAGTGGTTCTCTAAAAGAAGACATTTGTATGTATTTCCCATAAGGTCCTAAATTAAACTAAGTCCCCCCCTGGGTGCCATCTTGGATCATGGACTGACTGCAAAGTAACAAGACTTGGTCAGCACCTCATAAGGAACATTCATACCATGTTTGGTTCCATTCCATTCAGTGGTTCTCTAAAAGAAGACATTTGTATGTATTTCCCATAGGGTCCTATGTTAAACTAAGTCCCCCCGCTGGCGGCCATCTTGGATGATGGATCGGCTGCAAAGTAACAACATTTGGTCAGCACCTCATAAGGAACATTCGTGCCATGTTTGGTTTCATTCCATTCGGTGGTTCTCTAAAAGAAGACATTTGTATGTATTTCCCATAGGGTCCTATGTTAAACTAAGTCACCCACTGGCGGCCATCTTGGATGATGGATCGGCTGCAAAGTAACAACACTTGGTCAGCACTTCATAAGGAACATTCATGCCATGTTTGGTTTCATGCCATTCACTGGTTCTCTAAAAGAAGACATTTGTATGTATTTCCCATAGGGTCCTATGTTAAACTAAGTCCCCCGCTGTCGGCCATCTTGGATGATGGACCGACTGCAAAGTAACAACACTTGGTCAGCACCTCATAAGGAACATTATTGCAATGTTTTGTTTCATTCCATTCACTGGTTCTCTAAAAGAAGACATTTGTATGTATTTCCCATAGGGTCCTATGTTAAACTAAGTCCCCTGCTGGCGGCCATCTTGGATGATGGATCCGCTACAAAGTAACAACACTTGGTCAGAACCTCATAAGGAACATTCATGCCATGTTTGGTTTCATTCCATTCAGTGGTTCTCTAGAAGAAGTTCAAAATGTAAAAAGTTAACGACGACGACGGACGCCAAGTGATGAGAAAAGCTCACTTGGCCCTTCGGGCCAGGTGAGCTAAAAAAGAACTGACCCACAAGGTAAAACAGACCCAGCAGGGTTAGGGGAAACAATCAATCCTTTTTGCCTGGCCTAAAGAGTAAATGTTTGTATTGTAAAATTAATTGCAAAGTACTCAGGAACAAATATATTCAATATTTGAAGTTTGGATGACATCACAAAAGTGCAAAAGGTATCGAAAAGGAAAAAAAAGCAACACATATGACATAAGCTACAAAACTTCTAAACATTAATACTTACATATCGGTGGAAATCTTTAAAAGAATGGAAAAGATAAAATCTGTGAAAATATACTACACCAGTGGCACATGTATCATATCTCCTGAGGGTAGGTTAAGGAAAAGTCAAAATAAGGACTTGTGTCTATCAAATGATTCAATTCAATCAATTGATTTAAATAATGCCTACCGTTCTATCACTACACAATGTACATGTATGTAAGCTTTGAGAAACGTCAGTCAAATCTATTTAAAACCCATTCTGTTGTTCTGTTACATTTTTGTTATCTAGTTGTATATAAAAATCTGAGAGGCATCTTTAAATATTGACAGTGCAAGCAGAAAAAAAGATTCATCTGAGTCTTTCTAATTTTCACATACCGTTATATAGACATATATATCATGTATATAATACTAATTTACTATGTTCATCAATACTCCATATTAACAAGATACATAAATAAAGTAAATCACATTTCTTTCTGTTTTCAAATGAATAAAATGTGGTATTTTTCAAAAAGCATAATCGTTTGCACGAAGTATTGTGTAGATTAGGCCGAGCTAATTATAATAATTCTATAATCTTGGGTCTTTCATATGGCAGGGATTGTTTTCATACAAAAGAAAGCATATGACAGAATCAAATGATTTGTCTTTAAGCCCATAAAAGATCAGCATTTGTATGATTCCAACACCTACTGTACTTCTGCAAATATGAATTAGTAATGATAATAAAATGTCTACATATACATGTATGGCCGAGTAGATACATGTAGTTTATATTTTTGTACATGTAGATGGTCAATATCTGCCCCCTTATCACTACTATGGTAAAATTCCAAGACCCACTCTAGGTTTGTGCAATTAGTAAGGTGCGTCAGAACTACCTGAATGTTATAGAGACAGGAAGTTGGTGGATCTATTCAAAAATAAAACTTACTAACATGTTATTGTACATTTGTACATGTTGTATGACTAAAACAAAATGTGAATTTTTATACAAGGATACAGTCCCATCTTTGTTCCTGCGTCAATGATAAATCTTGCCCCTTCCCTTCTGTATCTGGCTTCTGTTGTTGGATCAATCCCATCTCTGTGGGTTGGTGTGTTTCGTATCTCTTTCTTATCAAAGTACCAACAAGGCATATCTATGATAATAATAATACAAGTTAGTGCTGAAAATAATTCAAATTAGCTTAAACATATGAATTTGTATATGCAACTTAATTAAGAAAAGAAAACACATTGACATTCAGTTAAAAAATCACTTTTATATTGGGTATTACCTGATTTCAACATTTCCCAGAGTAACATACGCTGAATATAATTGTTCTTGTACATGTTGTTATTGTTTCAGTCTTCCAGCATGTCCAGACAAGGTTTAAATTAATAAGTTAAAGCATAAATTTATAATAGCAATTCCATATTTAACTATCTTTCATTAAAATTGTTTTATTTTAAGGCAAATTTTGTCAAAATGAAATAACTTTTGCTAAACATCCTTGGCAGTCTCAGGGCTCACACTACATGTACTTCAGAATCATATGGAGAAGTACCTTCTCTTTTTGAAACTGATAGGGAGAAGAAGTGGTGAGACTTTAAAGAAAAGTGCTTGTTCGCTTGCAGTGCTACAATATTTTTTTTTACCATAATATAAAGAGCCACATGAATACTATTTATTTGATAATTTTTTATATTGTTCAATTCATACCTGACAAATGCCTGATAGTACAACTTAAGTTGTCTCAGTTTATGTCTTAAATAATCATTTATAGTTGCACAATCATATTGTTTCCTCTTGTCAGAAACTACATGTTCCAACTACATGTAAATATCTACATGTAGCACAAAAAAGAAACTTTTTTATAGCAAAAAGGAAAAGAAAGTAATACTATCATGTCAATTAAAATTCATTCAAAATTCTGTTTATCATGTTTATGAAATTCATTGTTTCTCATAAAAAAAATACATACATTTTGTAAATTTAACAAAGTTAAGCAACTTTAATGAAAAAATTATAACAATGCAAATGTAACACCTGCCATATTTCATATCATACTATCATCATGTTATCATACTAAGCAGATTTAATAACATGGTGGCAAATTTCTTTCAGGTTTTTTTTTAGGGAATTTTCAAAAATCATCATACAGAAGCATAAAATTGTGTGCAAATTTGTATATGATTACTGTAGTAGGAACATAATATTTCCCACAAATTTGTGTGTGATTACTGAAGTAGGAACATAATATTTCCCATAAATTTGTATATGATTACTGAAGTAGGAACATAATATTTCCCATAAATTTGTATATGATTACTGTAGTAGGAACATAATATTTCCCATAAATTTGTATATGATTACTGAAGTAGGAACATAATATTTCCCATAAATTTGTATATGATTACTGTAGTAGGAACATAATATTTCCCACAAATTTGTATATGATTACTGTAGTAGGAACATAATATTTCCCATAAATTTGTATGAAATGAAATGAAAAGCAATTGAAAGAAGAGATTTAAAGGCATAAAAAGTGAAAAAAAAGAAAAATGGCTGAAAGAATTACAGTAGTGACAGGAAACAGAAATTTGAGAACTTTACCGTTCACACCGTTGGAGGATCATCTCACCACGGGCAGTCAGTGGGAGGAATGGGGCTAGAAGGAATAGAAAGAGAATTCCGATATTTTCGCATTACAGATCCCAGGACAAAAAGGACGTAATGATAATTTACGGAGGTAAAGAAATTTCAAGATAAGAGAAAAGTACACCTGACCCCGTAGACAGACGCATGGATGTATATGAGAAGATAAAGAAGAAACTGAATGATCATTTTGCTCCAAAGAAGAACAAACATTATGCGAGATGCGTATTTCTGAAAATGCGACCGATTAATGGAGAGTCAACAGTGGCAAACGCGACATGACTATGAGAGAGAGCTGCTGATTGTGAGTTTGAAAATCAAGATGACAGAATTTTAGAACACATTATTCAAACCACAGATAATGAATTGCTAATCAAAGAGACGATTAACAGAAATTGGACACTTGATCAAATGTTACAGGAAGTACACCAGTTAGAAGATACGACATTGCAGATACATGACATGAGGGATATACATACAGCATCAAGAGCCGGAGAAATTGCAATCGTGACGAATTATGGAGGAAAACAAAGAAATTACGGCATGCAATATATAGAGAAAACACAGACAATTATTGTAATTATTGTGGAAAAACACATTCGTTTGAACGACGTGAAGATTGAGGAGCTACGGAAAACAGTATAACAAATGTCAGAAAAGGAATCATTTTGCTGTAGTTTGCAAATCGAGATTGCAATCCATAAACCATGATAATGATCGATTCAGGAATCAATGACACACTGAACGAATTAAGGTAGGAATGTTAGGAAAACAATGGAAGACACAAGCGAAGAAGAATGTTCAGATGATGAGTTTTTCAGAAGTACAGTGAATCATTTGGGAGCAGTTAAGAAAATAAATGTACATAAAATCGGAGACAAAGCAAAACCAGTACTAGTTATGATGAATGATGTACAAGTGGAAGTAGAACCAGATAGTGGAGCCGACGTCAACGTAATGGACGAGTATCAGTACAGAGCATACAAAAACAGAACTAGTGATGGAACTGAATTATTAGAAAGCAAAACGAAATTGAGTACTTTGCAAACCAGTTTAAAAGAAAAAGGAGAATTTATTACAACAGTGAGAAATGCAACACGAGGGATAAAAACAAAAATAATTGTGATTAAAGGAAAAACTAATTAACCACCACTTATTGGAAAGAAAACACTTATTGAATTAGGCATGCTACAAATAAAAGAAGATGGCACATTAAAAGAGCTAAATAAATTAGGAATTCAGGGTGGAAATGTAAAATTTGAACATAAAATACCAGATATAAAAAACAAAGCAGCAAGGACTAAATTAGACCACGTAAGGAACAGCAATAAAACTGAAAACACGAACAAGAAGATCAAACAAAGAGACAAAGAATACAAACAAAATGTTTTAAATAAACATTCACAAAAAGGAGGTATAGAGAACATTCGTTTAAAATCAGTGACCGTGTCATATTCAAGCAAGAGAAAAGGAATAAATGGTCAACTGCATATGAACTTGAACCGTATATCGTATACAAAATATCCGGATCAAGCATAGGAGCTCAACGAAAGTCAGACGGAAGAAAAGTGTTTCGTGACTCTTCACACTTCAAACTCGCAAATAACATTGACATTCCGAACTCAAATCATAAGTGGCAAGATAGAATTTTGATGCACACTAAACAGAATGGAGATAAACACATGGTTGCACAAGGATGAAGAAGAGAGATGCCAATCCGAACAAGAAGACCACCTGCTAGATTTAGAGACTGTGTAGTGTGATTTCAAATATAGACAGCTGTAAATATCAAATATGATATCATCAGTGAAATATGGACTGTAAAATTTAAACTTTAATTTTGAACATTAATTTATTCAACAGCACTTTATTTGAAATGATTGATCAAAACTTTTGAAGAAATGGAGAAATGTAATGACTTTAATTGCGCATAACGTAACGTTACACTTTGGTGTTCCTTATGTAACGTCACATCCTTGGTTACTTTATGTGTTCTTAAAATTGAGAATGGAAATGGGGAATGTGTCAAAGAGACAACAACCCGACCATAGAGCAGACAACAGCCGAAGGCCACCAATGGGTCTTCAATGCAGCGAGAGAAACTCCCGCACCCGGAGGCGTCCTTCAGCTGGCCCCTAAACAAATATAGGTAGATTTTAATATACAATGTACGTTCCACGTTATATTTGTTGTCTTATGAATGCCTAAGTTATTTCAGCAGTTGCCTCATATTATCATTGTTACACTGAAGTCCACTTATTTCGTTCATCAGATAGGTCCTTTCATTTCAATAAATGAACATACATTGTAATTACCAGAAAACCCAAATTGTATATTTTCTTATCTAAAGCCCTCTACTGTCCCTCCAGTTAATGCCAGAATATTTTCTGTTGATATTAACATTTGAGTATGTAGTGTACATTGTATATTCAACAATAATAGGTTGTTGTTTTCTAGTTACATGATGACTGATATAAATAAAATGAATTCACATTATTTTGTCAGTGATAAATCATGTATAGTACTAGCTTTCTCAGAAAATCTGTGTCCCTATTCGATCATAACTTGAAAAATATTGTAAACTAGCTTACACACCGTCTGTGTTCAATTTATTATACCTGTTTTGAAACGTGAATAATCTGTTTTACTGATAAATCTCTAGTGTTTCAAAATACCAAACGTAACTTTTCAGACTTGTTTTTGGCATGTCGTAGAAATATCAAGTCATTTTGTTTTTCAGTATTTTAAAAATTGTTTTTCATATTATTGAATTTTAAATGATTTTTTTTAATTATGTTAATACGCATTAAGTTTTATTTGTATTTAATATTTTTACACTTTAACGACATACGAGATATGGTGACGTAGAACACAGCGGAAGTTGGAATTAGTAAGATACCACTGTTGAAATTTAATATCACATTGTCAGCTGGTGGTAGAACTTATCAAAGCCTTTAACAATATTTATAGCATTTCACTTTTCCAATAGCTATTTTCAGTCTTAATTCATTCACTGGTAAGTCAGCTATTTGTACCGTCTCTGTCTTTTAGTTTTACTCAACACAGTCTTTAGTTTTAGATGGGGTATTGCCATTTATGGTAAATTTTAAGACTATAAAATTTGACTTTTAAAAAATGTGTAATATAGATCCAGACTTCGATAGCATTACCAGTGCTATTTGAGAGGGTACTATTTATTTTGATAGTAAGAGGAATTAGGCCCAAAAAAACTAGAAAATGTCTAATACATGTAATATGAAGACGCACAAATGATCTATATATCGTCAACAAGTAAAATCACAGTATATCTACTCTTAGGGCAAAAGAATCAATACATAAATTTGCTGTTCTGTTTACACTAACCTTATTTATACAACCAGGAAAACTCAATTTGCGACAGTAAAACCCACATATTACGTAGGCCTAGCTTCAAAACTCTGAAAATAACATGTTTTCTCGTAGTCAAATCCTAATTTACACATGTCCAAACATCCTCTATTTCATGCCTGCACAATGGTACATTGAACATTTGTATTTTCTAATATTTTGACAACATTTTCACTCGATTTTGGTCAATCTTATTACAAAAGTCAATTATGAATCTTGAAAAAAAGATTTGTAGTCCACTCAAACAACTCAAAACATTATTTTTTGAAGAAAAAATTGGAAAGACAATAAAATCTTTTAGATTCTGCTTTAAACTAGGCAATATGGTCAGTTGGAAGGATGGCCTTTACAATACATATGAACCGACAATAGAATATCAATAAACTGAAAGTGATTCCATCCATATATTTACAAGAAAAGTATAAACATTACAAAATAATTAAATAATGAATAATGGTTTATTATGTGGTTTTTTTTTATGTCCCCGCCGTAGCGGAGGGGGCATTAAGTTTTACCCTTGTTTTTTTTAATTTATTTGATTCAAATAAGTTTACTGTTATTTTGATTGTATGAACATTCTTTGTTCAGAAAGGTGAGAATAATAATGGGAAAGAAAAGTAAAAAGAATAAAGAAAAGCCAGCTGCAGCTTCTCCTGAACATAAGGAATTATCAAAAGGTGAAAAGAAAGAAGTCTTGGATACAGTCAATCAACTATTAGAAGGTAAATATTCAGTAACATGTACAAATGATGTATATCTATATCTAATAGGGCAATTGTTTTTGGCCAACCTCAAAGCAATGAAACATGTTCACAACACACAATACTTTAAACTACTTGGAAACATAAAACCAGGGGGTGATATCAGGTGATCTAGGAAGGTTGAAAGTGATAGAAATTTTTCATCCATTCTGAAACTAAAACTATTAGATATTTGCATTATAATCAGCAAGCTTTTCATAAATATCGCATGTATTTCAGTTTGTTCCAATCCTGTGAATGCAGCTGGTCCAAAAGAGTTGGAGGAGTATATGAAGATCAAGGCTCTAGTTGATAAACTGATAAATTTACAGTCAGGTTAGTTTAAATCTTTTCTCTCATTGGTTATAAAATGTTCAACTTTACAGTCAGGTTAGTTTAAATCTCTTCTCTCATTGGTTATAAAATGTTCAACTTTACAGTCAGGTTAGTTTAAATCTCTTCTCTCATTGGTTATAAAATGTTCAACTTTACAGTCAGGTTAGTTTAAATCTCTTCTCTCATTGGTTATGAAATGCTCAACCTTACAGTCAGGTTAGTTTAATTAAATATCTTCTCTCATTGGTTATAAAATGCCCAATCATGTGGTCAACACTAATTTGAACTACATGTTGGTTTAATTGTCTGGTGCAGTTAGCCAGTAATTTGAGATGCAGTGATTTTTATCTAGTTCATTATGATGTCATATTATAACTAGATTCGTTGATACACTGTACATATAAAAGGGCATGTTAAATTATTGTTATGGTACCAATAGGTCTTGCTGATAATAACATGCTTATCAAGAATCCTTGTAATTTGTCATTTCAAATTTTTATTCAAATATTCCTGTCCAGAGCCAGAAGCCTGTATTCTAGAGACTTTCAGTGGTTGCTGTCTTTTATAACTCTTTCTTTTATTTTTTTAAAATATATATATATATATATATATATCAGGCTGTTAATTTTCTATAGAAAAAAACTATGCCAGCATGTCACTATAAACTCTGTCCCTTTATATCTTATTTGGTTCATTTATATGTTTTTGAGTTTAGTGCGACATCCATTTTCTCTGAACCAGTATACATTTTTTTTAGGGCCAGCTAAAGCCAGCCTCAGGGTGCAGTATTTTCTTGCTGTGTAGAAGCCCCATTGTGGCCTTGACCTGTTTTCTGCTCTTTGGTCGAGTTGTTGTCTCTTTGACACATTCCCCATTTCCATTCTCAATTTTATGATTCAGACAATGAGGACCATACAAGAACCTATAATTATAATAGGTTTATGAACAGGGGCAATTTGTAAAAACAAATATACAGACTTTATTTCTACATGAAGGACAGTATTAGAAATCAAGACTTTTTAACTCAATTGCTCATGATAGTGGAATTCAAATAAAAGTCATATTGAGCAAGTGGAAAGTATTTATATTGTTATATAAACAACACCTGTGACAATTAGGTAAATGACACATTTTAATCATTTTTAAAATGGTTACCACACTGTATCTACTACACAGATTATTATGATAAAAAAAAGTTATAAATTAGACAATTCTTCTATATTAATTGTTTATGTGTTTCTACAAGCAAACGTAAATGTAGAGGTTTAATTTTACTTAATATAAATCAAATAACTTTAAATCTACATGTACATGTATTAACTGGCAATAACTGTTCACTTTGTTCAGACCAAATGTTTTTTTTCTGACCGATTTTCAACACTTGATTTGCAAAACATGCACTACTGTAGTGTTTCAAAGTCATTTATAAAGATTTGTAAAGGACCACTAGTAGCGCATGAACTTTTTACCCTTACATAGTTCCTGACATGACCTTTAAGATTTGTTAGTATTTCTCAGTCTTTAATTTTCTGTGAAGTCACTAGTGGTATGTGGACAATCATTTGTCTTTTTCTTTTGAGCATGGTTTTGTCCATGTTGTCTGTCTTTTTTCAACTTATTGTTTTGTAATAGCAGTGACTAACATGGCTCGACACATATATATAATATTTATCCAGTCATGAAGTATTGAGAGTCATATTTTATTTCTAGTTCTAGGTACTCCTGCAGTAGACAGAGAGAAGAACTTCCCAGGCTTTACAGAATGGTTACATAGTAATGGGGTAGAAACAAGTGTGGTAGAGATAAAGAACTTCCCTGGATGTGGATATGGCTTGCAAGCCACCAAAGATCTCAAAGTTAGTGCTAAATTGATTAACAATATGACTTACAAGCCACCAAAGATCTCAAAGTTAGTGCTTAATTGATTAGCAGATAATTATTAATAGATAGCTTTTATAACTTTTTATTAACACAATACAAAAATAAGGAGATGTGGTATGATTGCCAATGATACAACTATCCAAAATTCAAATGAAGTGGATGTAAGCAATTATAGGCAACCGTACAGCCTTCAGCATTGAGAAGAAAAACCCATACAGTAGTCAGTGTTCTCCCCAGGGCCATAAAGCACCATGGTACCCTGGTGCTATATTTTCTACCCTGGTGCTATCTTGGATGATTTTATAATAGAATGTGTAGGGGCCATGGTGCTATATTTTTGGAAAACCAGTGCTATGTTAATTTCCGTGGTGCTATTTGAAAATTCTAGGGAGAACACATACAGAATTACTGTATAGTCGGCTATAATTTTTTTTAGCAAGGATGATAATCTTATTAACAAAAATACAATGTATGATAGATGTATATATTGGTCACCCTCAGGACCAGATAAAACTGACCTCACAAGTTGGACCACATTTGTATTGAGGTTCAAAATGCATATTTATTACTACAGCAACACAAGACAGGTTTTCTTTTAACAGAGATGACCTTTATAGCAGGTTTGACAATAGCTCTAAGGCAAATTTGCTCTTTTCAGGAAACCTATAAAAAAAATCTGAAACTTGAAGATGGCTTCCATTAAATGAGTTTTCTCAGTTACATTAGGATTACACACTTTCTTTAGATTTTTAGGAGCAATACATGTGTATATATATTAACAATATATTCTTTCTGCAGGAGGCTGATCCATTTTTAACCATACCTAGAAAAGTCATGATGACAACACAAACAGCCAGGGATTCAGTATTGGGTAATATATAAAATTTAGGGCTGTTCCATTAAAGCATTGTACCCAGGAAGGCACTTTGAAAATGGGGTTACCTCCTTCTGTAGATGCAAATTTATAATATCTCTTACACTTTCACTGTCCAAAAACACCAACTCTCAGTTGACATCTTTAAGTGCCTTCCCTGGGTCCTATGTATGTTTTTATGGAAAAGCCTTTAATATTTAATGATGGATTAAGATATCATGAATGTAAAAGATTTTTAAATGTTGAAACAGGGTATATGTCAACAATAGAGCAAATCCCAAATACAAATATAAGGCAACAAGTTTTAAAAAAAAAACTGAAAACATCTGCACCAAATATGGTTGTGAGGGATATTGTAATCCAATTATGTGATCAGCAGACAGCAAATATTTTAATCATGATACATGTAGATCTGCTTCACATTTCATCATCACATTTCATCATAGAAATTTAAAAACTAAAACAATGGTTAAATAAAAATGTCATTAACAGTGCATGTCAGCTCATTTTTGAGGAAATAAAAATATTTTAATTATAAATAAGTTAATGGAAAGAGAAATCATAAACGATGAAACAATCTGCATATTTTTTTTAATATTGACAATCATATTTTATATTTTTATTACTGAGTGTTTACAATATTCAAATGTTTATGTGTATTACGTAAATCATTATAACCCATTTTAGACCACAGTTTATGCATTTTTTTTTGTAGGGCCATTAATAGGACAAGATAAAATGTTACAAGCCATGCCCAGTATACTACTAGCACTACACCTGCTCTGTGAGAAGAAGATACCTGAATCATTCTGGAAACCTTATGTTGATATCCTTTTATATATTTTTCACTTAGCTGAAACTGACTTACAAATGGTCAATTATTCATATAAAGCATTATATCGTTTTGTTATTTCAAGAATCTTTCTCAAACATATACACTCAATGATGTCTGGTAATATTTTGGAAGCTACATAATTAACAAAGCCGTTTTCTACTCTTAATGGACTTTTTCATTAAAATACAATGACTTACCTCCCCTTTCCCATGCTACAAAAATGTAACTTTAGGCTTCAGCTACAATTTATATAAAATAAAAACTAGTAGGATTTTTTTTTTAACTCTTGTGGAAAATAAACAAAATACATTGTCATTGTATAGCATTTATAATACCTATTCCAAGGCTTATGATGGACACCAGTGACAGAATTTCAACAGTGTAATTAAATTGAAATTGTTCACCTAATTTGCTTGGATATGTTGACCTAATTCTTTTTATGTTGTTGTTAAGTGTGGAGTTTATCAGCTTAACCAAGAACACTCAAGTTTAAAACCATAGTAGCCCTGATTCTCAGTTTTTGGAAAAACCCTTTGGTCCTTACACTCCAAGGTCCACCCTTTGGTCCTTACACTTCAAAGTCCCAATACAAGTTGTTACTACCAACTTGAGACATAATGCATAGAGTGACAAATGGCTATATATTTATAACCTTAACTTATGATAGATGTATTACCAGATTCATATTGTACACCACTCTACTTTACAGAGGATGAAATCAAACTTTTGAAAGGCTCTCCTGTACAAAGTAAGTTATCTCCCTTGGAATAAGTAGGTTTATCCCCATTGGTGCAAAGGTCCAGTTATCAGAAGCCTTGTTTTGTTTTAAGAATCTGGCGTACATTTTGTTGAGGGATCATTCTGAAAATTTCTTTAAGCATTGATATGATGTAGCAGTCTTTGAGGCAACAATACATTATTTCATCTGTTTTTTATAAAACTAGATATGTTTCCATGGTGACTTGAAGTAAAGGAGAAAGTGTAGATAGAACAAGAAGATGGATATAAAGTAATATTCCTCAAAAAATGATTCCACTGTATACAATAAAGAAAGAGAAAAATTTGGTAAAAATTCTTACATACCTTTTAAAGAAATGCCTGATGTTTTTATTATAGACATGCCAAATATGCAATTACCATTTTGCGTTGCTTTGTATGCATGTAACCAATTTAAAGCATCTACGTTCTGTAAACCAAGTTTCTGAATCCATACCTGCAAACTGGATCAACATAAATAATTATTTATATTTCAGATCAGGGTTGTTATTGTACAAATTTTGAAATGTACAGACACTTATTCTCATGCTTAAAACAATAATAAATTCAGTATAATGATGTTTTATTATACATATCTTTTCTAGGTGATTGTTATAATCAGTTAAAAAACATAGCAAGACAGTATGCCTACTTTTACAGATTATTTCAGGTAACTAACTGCAGCTTCTTTGAATATGTTATTTAGTCATCTTTACAGTTAATCTGTGTTGACTCACATCTTGAATTGCAATTTTTGGCTGTTCCAAAGATATGATGTTTATAACGGTTTGTGGGTGAAGGATGCAGCTACAAACCATGACATATAATGTACTTGCCTCCTCCTGGTTTGATAACAGAACTTTTCATTAAAAAAGTGGGGGTATACTGTTTTACCTCTGACTTTCCATCCGTCAGTCCGTCCGTCTCATGAATATTTTTCGTCGCATCTTTCTCAGGAACTACTTTACAAGGATTTCTGTAATTTGCTTTCAGGGTTTATATGAGTCAGCTATACCGTGTGATGCGATTTCAGATTCATCACTCAACAAATTCCTGTTTACCTTATACTTTTAGCGAGACGGGGGTATCATTAGTGGGCAGTAGCTCACAGATTCACTTGTTTTATCTGACTTCCTATTTAAATTTTAAAAGAAAACATGAAAATCACCATTATTATGTAATGTTGAGCTTCAATTGACAAAAGTATAAAGATACTGTTTTAACAGTTCCAACTTCCAGTAAAGAATAATTATTTCTGTAATTAGTCAAGGAGATTCCAAGACATTTTAGAATATTTAATATTTCTAGGCAAGCAACATTGCTTGTTACACTTTAAATTACTTTAATTGTTTTGGATTCTTTTAGAATTTGCCAACAACATCAAAGCTGCCAATAAAAGACTGCTTTACTTTTGATGATTACAGGTGAGACATAGTTGTAATAATACTTTTGTCCAGTTTTTATGGGATTTAAAAAAACAAAATGTTATTAATGCAAGCTTATAGCTCTTAGTTTTTTGTATGTATTTCATTTATTTATATTTACAAAGGGGAGATAACTGTTTTGTTATAAATTTTAGATTTGAGTTTGTGTTCATGGAGTTAAAAAAATTATCAATTATGACACAATCTTGGTGTAATTTATTTATGATTTCAAACACTTCTTCAATATTTTTTCAGATGGGCAGTTTCTACAGTTATGACCAGACAAAATCAGATCCCTACACCAGATGGCAGTAAGATCACATTTGGTCTGATACCAATGTGGGATATGTGTAATCACTGTAATGGAACAGTAAGTTTGTCAGGAATTATTGTTTTACTGAAAGTTCATTTATTCAAATAGCTAAACCCTAACACTTCCAGAGTAATGTAAACATATTTTTTAGTTTGATAATGAGATTCCTTCACTGATTGTAGCAACCTAATGCTTTCTGTAAAATTTAAAGGGGGTGATTATGAACTTATGAAGCAGTTCTGATAAAATTTGATGGATGTTGCTTGCTTTGAAAAAAAAAAACCTGCATGGAAAATTGAAACAGCATCCAGATAAAAAATGAAGATCTCAGTACAAAATGTATTTTGGTTTAGTATGTTAATAAGCCATGCACACTGTACAGTAATATCTTAACTCTCCAGAAAAAGTATAACCTGAGAGACAAACCAACTGAGATAATCAAAGATAATGTTAGCACAACATCCTTAAATTAAATGAACAGTCATCAACGATAAAGAGATGATGACAACCTCTATGCTGACAACCTCTATGCTGACAACCTCTATGCTGACAACCTCTATGATGACAACCACTAAGATGTACATATATGGATTTCACAGTAGGGATGGGGCATAACCTTGGGACATGGCTAAATAGTTTAAACAATTTAATAGAGATTACAACTTTCTTATGTTCCAGTTATGGGACAGGTACAGGTACATGAATATTGATTGGATTAAACCAGCTCAATGCATAGATAATTTTATGTCTACTCTGCATAGTAGGTTATGTAGGATTTTGAGGGCAAAAATTTCAGCTCAGATGCTGTAAATCCCTCTAATAATCTATGTGACAGACAAACAAGAAAAAAAAATTGTTGTTTTGGGGATAGATTTTAAAAGGCCACCTCAGAAATTTTCTTTTGCATGGGACTACACTGTTTCTCAATAATATTTTGTTATTATTTTATTTTATTAGATAAATGAAACACTGTTTTAACAATCAATTTTCAGATAACAACAGATTACAACTTAGAATCAGACTGCAGTGACTGTTTTGCTTTGAAGGAATTTAAACAAGGTGAACAGGTGAGCAAACTTACTATTTAGGAAGAAAGATGGGATGTCGGGTGGATATACATCAGACAATATTATCTGGATAATTTTTAAACACTATCACATCTATTTACATGCAATGAAAGTGTGTTGTAGGCTTGTTGTTTCACTGATATATCATCTCGCACATGGGTATTATCTGAGGGGCCTTGGTGGCTGAGTTGTCTCAGTTGTTCATATACAGTTATCACTAGCCTGTCAACTCTTAAGGTTGTGAGTTCAAAAGAAAAAGTTTGTTTTTTCGAACCTGTTCTTAATTCACAAGGGTTGCTAGTTTTCCTGCAAAAGGTCGTTGGTTCTCTTAGGGTATTATGGTGTCCGCCACAAATAAAATCTGGATGTCATGATATTGCTAAGTGTGCTGAAAATGGCTTTAAACACGAACAAACAAACATCTTACATGTTTTTATCCTATACATATATCCCTTTTATTGCTGTTCTTTTTCAAGAGTATTTCTTAAAGATCTTCAATGAACAACTAATACCATTACAATGCTAGAGTAACATGTCTTCTGTCATGGCAGTCAACATATTGATAATTACTATGATAAATTATTTACCTTGCTTGTTATTATCTCTGTACCCTTGCAGGTGGGGAAATATGATTTGGCTTTTAAAAAATATTCAAGTGCTAACAACATTATGGAATAAATGTATGAAAATGCTACTTTACTTGGTGATGACATAATTTTGATTTTGAAATGATATTATACAGGATTATTTTAGATCAACTTTCTTGATTTTTGATGGAAATTTTGTTCTCTACTTTCCTGGGACAACTATGTTAAATATGATAAAAACGTTATTTGTGAAATATACAAGCATGTGATGATCATGTGTTCTTATGTTGGGAAAAAATATTTGGAGGGTCCAACCAATATCTGGAAACTTGGCATCTATGAAATACTGTAAATTCACAAATTACTGTGTGCATTTATTATTGCTATTTTTGAAGTATGTACAAAAATGCGAGATTAATTATTGCGATTTCAGGAAAATGTCCATTAAGATATATGGATCAGATATCAGAATGCGAGTTCTTATTATTGCGATACTCGCCCAATAGCATTATTCACAATAATTTCTGAATTTACAGTATTGAACATTTTACCATTTATAGATCACCCTTTCTGGTAGGGTTCATGTTGCTCAGATATTGTTTTCTGTTTTGTTTTGTAGACTGTTATTTGTCTTTTCTTGTTTTTTTCTTGTTTTTTTTTTCGTTTTCTGACATGGCTTTGTCATTTTATTTTTTGACTTATAAGTTTGAATATCCCTTTGGTATCTCCCCCTCTCTAGTTACAATTTATAAAGTGTACATTATGAACTTCCATTATGCATGGTTCTTAAAGTATTTCATTTGTAAATTTGTAATATCATCCTATATTCATTACAATTTACTACATAATTGGAGACATAGTGTACTTGTTTATGTCATACAGTGTAGTGCATCTATTGATGACATGGTGTACTTATTGATTATATAGTGTACTTATTGATTATATAGTGTACTTATTGATAATAAAAGTAAAATAACAAAAATACCAAACTCCAAGGAAAAATAAAAATGAAAAGTTCGTTATCAAATGACAAAATCAAAAGCTCAAACACATCAAACGAATGGAAAAAAACAACTATCATAGTCCTGACTTGGTACAGGCATTTCCTTATGTATAAAACCTGGTTTTATAGCTAGCTAAACCTCTCACTTGTATGACAGTGTATTGTCGCTATTGTGTACTTATTGATGTCAATAAACATAGTTCAGTGTGAAGGAGTTTCTGACTTGTTCCTATAATGAAGCACATTTTCATATGGACTGAATTTTGTGTTATTAGAATAACTATGTATACCTCTTGTGGTTTCCAGATCAGTATATTTTATGGGGCCAGATCAAATGCTGAGTTACTAGTACATAATGGATTTGTTTACCCAGAGAATGATATGGATAGAACAGCTATTAAATTAGGTATATTTTATGGGATAACAAAGTTGAATAGTTGTAATTTAGTGTTAAATAATATACATGATATATGAACTTATATGATAATTATGAAGGGTTAACATACACTGTTAAAAGTTTTGTGTTTGACAATGACAGCTTCCAAAGTTTTTTAACAACAAAAATGAAATTTAGTATCAAAGAAAATGTAATGTTCTTCTATCCATGAAAATTGGCAGCACGAAAATAACTGAATCCACAGTATATGTTTTTTTTTATATTTCATATGAAAAATCCAGAGACATCTTTTTCCCCCGACAAAAATTCTGATTTATCCAATGCTTATTTTTATATTTACAACAGGGTTTGTTACTCATGCTGTGTGGATGCAGTAGAATGTGTCCCCGTACCTGTAGTGTATGCCCTTATATTTTACAGTTAGGGTTTTTTGCTTGTGAGAGAGCTGTCTACATATTCCATTATATTAATGTTCTGCTCAATGTTGAAGGTCATACAGTGACCTATAGTTGTTATCTTCTATGTTATTTGGTCTCTGGTGGAGAGTTGTCTCATTGGCAATTATACCACATCTTCTTATTTTTATATTTACACTTATCCTTATGTAACCATAATTTTGTAATCTTCTAATGTTGTAGAAATACTTAATTTATGAAAATGTTATTATTGTGAATTCAGCAGCTTACCTCTTTAAAATTTATGATTAAATCAAGTAAGGATTTTTTTTCAGGAATTAGTAAAAGTGATAGCCTTATTGACAAAAAAACCAAATTATTAACAGCTCTTGGTTTAGCTCCGTAAGTAAAGATTAAGATGTTTATAGTTAACCCAAAATGAAGAATATACTTTACTTTATTAAACAGATTATAATGACAGTTACATTTTTATATAAGGGGGAGTGGTTTCATGAATATAGGAAGTACATATGTTCAATTGCCTAGAGAGGAGCAAACATAAAGTACCCCAGAAAAGCACTTTTCAAAACTACTATTAATTGTACTCATGAAGAAACATGTCAAGTTGAACAGGGTTTATAGGTTGCTTTCATGCTTCATTATGACTCCACTTAAAACAGGATATGGTTTAAGTAAGTCATGAAAATAAGGATATAGTTTATAAATTCATGACACAAAATCAAAACACACACAAGAAAAGAAACCAAAAGTAAAGGAACAGAGCTTTTATTGCTGTTCTTCATCTCAGGGTAGCTTTCACCTCACTATAAGCTCAAGACAGCATACAGTAAGTAAACACTGTATATGCTGACAAAGGAATAACATTGTTATATGTATTTTTGTATTTTTTAGGTCCAGAATGTTCTTTATTTACTCAGGGGAAATCCCTGTAGATCCACACCTTGTATCTTTTCTTAGAGTATTTAATATGACGGAAGGTAAGTTTTACATATCTATATAGGGGAATTCGATCCATAATGCTGTATTCGTTCGTAATAAGTTATTTCAATATTGTTCTGATCTTGTATTTTTTAGTTTGATAATACAGTATTAGATTTTGAGCATTAAAAATACAAGCATTGGATTTTGGGCATTAAAAATACTGCATTAGATTTTGAGCATATCTACGTATTGTGAGGTAAGGGAAATTAAGAAAAGCAATTTAAGAAAGATATATGTCCTGAAGATTTCAAACTATTTTTGTTTTCAACAGCACAGACATTTTGAAAATGTAAAGTAACTATAGAATTTAATATATTTTTTCCATAAAATGTCTAAAGGGTGTTGCTGACTTTATTGTAATTGACTTTATTGTAGATGAAATCTCCTGTTATGACTGTGAGAACATGACAGAAGAAGACCTAGAAAAGATGGGTGATGTCAACACACCAATTAATGTGGAGAATGAAGAAAAATTGTGGAAATTTTTAGAAACAAGACTGGCATTGTTACTGAGGGCTTATGATACCACAGCGGAGGTATGATAGTGTTATTATTTTTTAACTTTTTTTTATTATACGCCCGTCAAATTTTTGACGGGACGTATTATGGTATACAAATGTCCGGGGTCCGTCCGTCTGTCTGTCTGGCGTTAACATGTCGCACCGTAACTTGAGAATGACTTATCCAAATTTCATGAAACTTAACATAGTTGTTTCTTATGATGGTCAAACGATCTGTATACTTTTTGGTGAAAATAAGATTAAAACTTTTTGAGTTACGGGACTTAGTAACTAAAACAGGTGTGTGTTTTTGTTCACATGTCGCGCCGTATCTCAAAAACAGTTAATGATTATTGCTTAAAACTTTACACACTTCTCAGTTATATTAATCTTAAGATCTGTATACTTTTTGGTGATGATTCAAAATTTTATTTTAGAGATATTGAGTATTTTGTTAAAAAAGGGGGAGGGGTTTTTCACATGTCGCGCCGTATCTCAAAAACAGTTTATGATTATTGCTTAAAACTTTACACACTTCTTAGTTATATTAACCTTAAGATCTGTATACTTTTTGGTGATGATTCAAAATTTTATTTTTGAGTTATTGAGTATTTTGTAAAAAAAGGGGGAGGGGTTTTTCACATGTCGCGCCGTATCTCAAAAACGATTTATGATTATTGCTTAAAATTTTACACACTTCTTAGTTATATTAATCTAAAGATCTGTATACTTTTTGGTTTTGATACAAGATCTTATTTTTGAGATATTGATTTTTTTTTTTTTAAAAGGGGGGGTTTTCACATGTCGCGCCATATCTCAAAAACGATTTATGATTATTGCTTAAAATTTTACACACTTCTTAGTTATATTAATCTAAAGATCTGTATACTTTTTGGTTTTGATTCAAAATTTTATTTTAGAGATATTGAGTTTTTTGTAAAAAAAAAAGGGGGGTTTTTGCATGTCACGCCGTATGTCAGAAACTATTTATGCTTATTGCATAAAAATTCACACACAAGACGACGGGCGTATCATGCGCTCATGGCGCAGCTGTTTATTACAGAATAGAATCATGTTAATGAACTTTCTTTCATTATTGACTAAATGTTTGCTGAAATACTAGGATATTCTTAATTCATCTGAAAACTTCAGGAAAAGAACATATTTTGTATAACTGATCTGTGATATCATGTTGATGTCCAACATTACAGATTTTTATCTCTATTATTACAAGACCTGTCATTATGGTGCAGCCTCTCTTGTTTACTGAAACCTGAGGGAATCCAGGGGCAAATTGGACCTATTTTCTATGATTGAGGGTAAAATTATTTTCCATGACAAATTGTGAAGCGATATAAATGAAACAGTATCATATTGTTTCTTACACATCTTTCTTTATTCTGTGTCTTATATATTCTGTTTTTATTACAGGAGGATACCAATCTGTTAATGGAATCTGGTATACCAGACAATAAACTATTTATAATACAGTTAAGGAGATGTGAGAAAATTATTCTGCAGAACGCTGTTAAATTTGCTACTGAGAAAAAATGTGACATTATTCAAAATTCAAAGGACAACATAGAGACTGAATCTAAAGAGGAAAATGTGGGAACTTAAGTTTCGTTATAAAATGTGTATTTTATTTTAAAATAAATCTAATATAGCAAGATAAGCAGCTACAAATATACAAACACTGGGAAGTGGTTAAATTAGTTGTTACTTATTTCATTGTTTGTGGAAAATTAATTGAAAAATCAGTTTGATAGAGAATATGCATTTCAATGGGTTAAAAAATTTGCAGTTTTGAATGACCACGAAGTCTGAGAAAATTTGTATCACAAAAATTACCTGTAAACTACTTTCAGGGTACAGTGAAACCATCTTAATGGAACACTTGGGTGAGGACATGCTATAAATATTATCAAGAGATTGTGATTATGTTTACCAAGTGGACTCATCTAAGGCAGTTCTTTATTAGTTGGCACAAAAATCTTGATAAAAACAATTATGTACAAATTATGGTTTCAGTAGTTTTAAAAAATATAGTATATCAGAATGTGAATGAAAAAACATGTACACTTCACTAGAAAATTTGTTAGATCTTCTTCCAAAAACAAAATGTCTTTTTAAATCTCTTATCAGATATCTATGCCAATTTATTTTTGGTTTTGTTCATATTTAGTTTTGTTAATCCATTTTTTCCAAAATCAAAAACTTTTATGTTAAAGAAACTTGTTAGTTCATACAAGTACAAATGTAATTTCATATCGATTTGATAAAACTATTTAGAAGTTTAACAAAAAGTCTTTCAACAGTTGATTCCATGCATGACTTCAAATAAACTATCTCCTGAATCAAAACTTTTGTGTGCAATTTTTTTTTTTATGTTTGTATTCAAAAACAACAAAAATGTTCAACAAACGGTGAATTTTGCTTTGATTAGTTTCAGGAAGAATTTAGGAATCGGAGTTTATTCCACAAATCATGAATTGTAACCATGAATAAAAGTGTTATTAAAGTATTTCATTACTGTGGCAAGATGGATTGTTATCATGATTGTGCAATAATTTTTATGAAGGAATTGTATAATAAAACCTTTGCTTCAATATGTGTGTTTAGTTTTATTATTCTACACTTAAAGTCATAGTGATAAATAGAGAATATCATATGGCTTTTTCAATATCACACCCGTATCAACCCGAGACACCAATATAATCCCAAGAGCTCTGCTCGAGGGATTATATTGGTTGAAGGTTGATACGGTGTGTGATATTGAAAAGGCCATATCATATACACTTTATTATATACATATACCTCACGTAGATGTTTTTTATGTGACATGACGTCATACAGGTAAGGAGGTTTGAAATGACGTCATACGGATTATAGGTTTGACATGACGTCATACAGATTAGGGGTTTGATAAAGCCTTTGCAACAGTGACTGCAATCAATGACGTGACGTCATACAGATTAAAGGTGTGATAAAGCCTTTGCAACCGTGCTGATATTGATATCATCACGGGTGGCTGATACAGCACGTTTGTCAATGATTGTATTAAACATACAATTTATCTGTATTTACCACTAAGTATATAATAAATCATTTTATTGTCCCATTTGCCTATATCACCCTGCGTAGTCGTAATCCTCGTATCAAGACATTGAGACATGAGCAGACATTATCAACCATGTAACAATGTCTGAGCAGAAGTTATCAGTGAAGTCACAATGTCTGAGTAGAAGTTATCAGTGAAGTCACAATGTGTGAGTAGAAGTTATCAGTGAAGTCACAATGTGTGAGAAGATATCAAGCTTACTTTTGTCAAGCGTAAAACTGTTTAAAAGAGGTGGAAAAGAATAGTGAGTAATAGAAAGTTAAACAGATTATCGGGTTTTCTACTCAGAGATCTTAAATATCAGCCGCTCTACACAATGTGAAGCTTTTTTGCTTGTTCTCTGTGCTCCCTCAACAAAACAGTTCACATTGTGGCTCGTGGCTGTTATTTTACTTTATTGGCAATTTGTACATTTTCCCTTTGATCTTACTGCCTAATATTTTTAAGATCATGGACAGGACTTGATACTCGAAAATATTAAGCAATGACGTCATGTATCAGTGCAGCAACGTCACATGTTCAAGTCCATCCGCATCAATTTATCAATGAAATGCTTCCCAACATTTTGTACGCGTAAAAGTAGTTTTTCTTATTATTTCATTTTACTTCATAATCTCAACTAAAAAAATATACAGTTAAGACAAATTGCTGATAAAAAAAATAATGGAATTTTAATTTTTGATACTGACTTCATCAGCTCAAATATCAGCTCGCCCTACCGGGCTAGCTTGATATTCTTGCTGATAAAATCAGTATCAACAAAAAAAATGCCATTATTCTATATATATCATTGGGTAAAAAACCTGATAATCTATACCTATGTTTAAACAAGGAACCGACTTTGTCTAGATGCTTGTTGTTTTAACTGACAATATATTTCTTATGGGTGGTAAACATGTTTTTTCAACAGAAAATCGGCCTGCATCAGGTAATTAACTGTTCTCCTCTGGCCATAACTAAAGCTATTATTCAGACTAACTAGTCTTTGCTCTTACTCCTAAATGTTTTATGCTACCCCACTACAACATACCTACCTTGCAGTTGTATTCTTAAAGACATTTAAATTTTGTTTAAGCTAGATAGATTGTCTTTTTCTGAGCATCCCTTCTGGGCATGTTTCAAACATACTTTTTTGTTTTTAAAATATTTTACCAAGTATCGTTCATTATACAACAAAAATAACTAAAATTTAAATTTAAAGATTAAACTATCAAACAATTAGGTGTCGTAAAGTATATTTAAAATTTTCAGAAAAAAATCCTTTTATACATGTACTGAATTTTATAGGACTATTTGAGTTTTTTTTTTTTTTTCAAGAAAACAAGGCCTGTGACCCCCTGTTTTTATTTGATATTTCAGAAGTATTAATAAAAAGCAATTATCTCATTGAATTTTAGCCAATTCTGTCGTTTAATGTTTCCTTTATTAAGGAAACATCAAGTTTCCCCTATATAACCAATATAAAAACAAGGTTTATTACCCCCAGTTTTTATATTGATATTTGAGAGAACATTGATTTAGAAGTTTAAGAAAAATCTATTATTGAACATTTAGACACCTCAGCTACATTAAATTAGAAATTGTAATTGTTTTTAAAATATTTTGAAACCAAGCAAACGTCAATGGATCATGACTGAGGTGGAAAAGTGGACAGGGTAAAAAAATCTCCACGAAAATGAGACAAATTTTATTGACTTAAAATTGACTTACAATTAGTGGTTCTTAAACTAACCTTATCACAAAAAATCATTGACTTGTCATTATGATTTCCCTTAAACTGATACAAACTTTACATAATAACTTAGAAAAAGGTCCATGACCAACTTTTTCAATCAATTATTATGGAGAAGCTTCCTGGTAAAAGTCATCCAAAAATGAAAATGAGGTCAAGGAAAAATGAAATTCTAGTTGGAAACTCTGAGAGCACATGGCATCTCCAAACATAAATGGTTATTTGCTACTTCTACAATAAAAAATAAAGCTATTTATGATAAAATTAACCCCAATGTCATACTTAGAGGAAACAGCAAAACTAACAATGATACCCCAGATCCAGGTATTAGTCTTAATATACTTAAATATTGGGGGCCTCGGTGGCCGAGTGGTCTAAGTAGTTATTACTGTAATCACTAGCCAGTCAACACTGAGATTGTGAGTTCGAACCCCGCTCGTGCGGGTGTACTCGACTCCAATCTTAATTGACTAGGATTGTCAGTTTTCCTATCGAAGGTCGGTGGTTTTCTCCGGGCACTCCGGCTGCCTCCACCAATAAAAACTGACCGCCACGAAATAGCACAAAAGCGGTGCTTAAAAGTGGCGTTAAAACACCAAAAATCAAATCAAATCTTAAATATTGACTTGTCCTTACAGACAGCCATTCATAACTTAATCACCACCATAAATATCCTAGAAGGCTTTCAAAAGTTCTTAGTTTAACATGACTTTGTACATTTCATTTGAATTGGAGATGTAAAGTTGAACATTTTTGTGATATTGACCTTGCAAACAGATATTCTAATATAAAAATAAGAAGACCAAACTTATTTACCTCACAATAACAACAACAATAATACAAAAAAGTAAAATAACGAAAATATCGAACTCCAAGGAAAATTCAAATCAGAAAGTCCATTATCAAATGGCAAAATTAAAAGCTCAAACACATCAAACGATTGGAAAACAACTGTCATTTTCCTGACTTGGTACATTTCCCTATGTAGAAAATGGTGGATAAAACCTGGTTTTATAGCTAGCTAAACCTCTCACTTGTATGACAGTCGTAAAAAAATTCCATCATATTGACAACAATGTGTGAACAAAACAAACAGACATAATAGGTAAAAATGTCAAAATTAGGGGTACAGTATCATTAATATTCTCAAAGGCATTCAAAACATCTGAACAGGACGCTTCTTGCACAGATAGGCTGAGATTTCGATATATCCCTTGCACTTGGTGACAACAGGTTTTGAATATTTTGATTTTAATAAGATGTGAGTACTAACAAAAGTCAAAGATCTGTTAGACTGCAGACAATCTAAGCCTCTTTCATCGTGTAATGCAATTGTAATAACAAAAACACTTACCCTATACACTAGTATATTGTTTTATCCTAAATTTAAAAGAAGACTGAAAGAATTAGTCCAACTTTATTTCATAAAGAAATTACCAACGCTGAACCAATATCTTCTTTTGGGAAGGACAGATCATACATAGTAAAAACCAACTGATTCAAACAAAATGCTTTCTGAAACTGTGATGCTTGGATTTTTTTTTATTGATACCATATCTGTTTCATTCATTATGTCCACATATATGTCTCTGCCTTTCTGTCGAATTGTTTCCTTACTCGTACAATTTGTACAGAAAAGCTTCTGAAGAAGAAGCTGGCATTTTAATTTTACTACTTATTCCGCTATATAGATGATGTATTCCCACTTAGGTAATTATTTGATAGCATCTATCCTATTGGACTTAAAACAAATGGTACCACAGATATGTTGCTACACATGCGTCATATCTTTACACACATCTAGCACAGGCACGTGTCTCTGAATTTTTGTTGTCTATAGACTTTAATATTAAAGAGACAATGCCTGTGACATCTAGATACTAATAATGAGAGTCAGTAGAGAACTAACTTTACGACAAAAAAGGTGTTTCAATTTTCTCATTGTAACTTTCCACTTCTCTGTAGAAACACTCCAGCCGTCCCTACATATGTTGTAAATATCTCACATTTGAAACGATAATATAGGCTTGCGTTTCCTATCATGGTTTCCATTTTAGAGGTTTGCTGCTTATTACGAAACTATTAAACCAAGCTAGGGTTACAAATACTCGTAAAGTTGAAGTCATCCCTTCTAAAGTCCTCTGTTAGGCTCATCTATTTAAAAGACTATGATGTGCTTTACGTAACAAACGTAGCACTCGTCGTCGTCCGTCGTCTGTTCTAAACATTTTCGAACCTCTTATTCGAAACTACCGAACCTATGCAAAACAACCCTTACATGATTTATCTTTAGGGTCTCTATATAAAAGTTTGTGAATTATACTAAGATCCATTAACCAACTTAACCGCCGTTGCTAAAAATATATATAGAAAATAGGAGTAAAATATAATTGATTGTCTTATAGCTTGAAAACCCTAATAGAGCATATATAAAATATATAGAATAACTGACAGACACAAACAAAGTTACGAATGTCAAGATCTACCTACTTTTCGTTTTTACATTATCAGATGAATCCCCGTAACAGTTATTTTCCTTTGCTGTGAATAAAAAGAATACACCCATAAGACAGCAATCTAACGACTAAAATAATTAAAAGACATTAGGAGGGCATATAGTTAGTGTTGCCTATATTAATTTGAAAACTATAAAAGAAAGAAAAACACTGTAAATGTCAACATGATCAGCAATACAAGATCTACAAAAATGTGGTTTTTTTTAAGACAGAAAACATAAAATGGCCCTTTAGAGAAAT